GCGCGCGCGCGCGCGCGCGAAAGAGAGAGAGGGAGAGAGAGAATGTGAGAGAGAAAGAGATTTTTATTGTTTGTTTTGTAAATAGACACTCGTATTTTTCTATTTTCGCGAGGATCGTAGTGAACCGTTATTTGCACGTTCCGTTAGCGTTTCAGATCTGTTACAGTTTTTACTAGCCCCGTTCGCTTCACCCCCCTTCATTTCTTTACGCAACATTCAGCCACGTCGGCAATTTAGAGCGACTCGCTTTTTAAACGTATCCTTCCTTCGATTTGCTCTTCGCGTCTCGCGTACGTGCACACGATAGACCGTGATATTAATTTTGATCGCGATATTTTTTATTTTTCTCTTTCGAAACCTTCTTTTTTCCGTCTATTTGTCGAGATCGCGATGAACGTTTCGCGTAATTTCGCATCATTTCGCGTTGCTTTTTTCTATCGTATCACCAAACGGTTTATCGACGGCTGCGATTAACGATTAAGTATAAAGTTCGTTAACGAACGTTCGCGATCGGAAATAATCGAGATGATCGTTCGTCTCGAGTTTCGCTGTTCGTCGAACACGACGAGACGACCGAACGCGAACGAGAAAACTGATGTCTTTCGCGCGCCATGATCGCGGTCCACGTTGTACATAATTATAATACGGTTTTAACTTTGTTTATTTCGATGACTATCGCATCGCCCGAAAATTATCGGGTTGGCAACTAAATTCTTTTCGAAATCGCTCGAATTCTATCTTCGACGAATCGAACAGTTGGTCCGTTATCGAATTTTTCATTCGTATTTACACGGAAAATATTCCACGAGTTGCTCGAGATCGCGTTCTGCGGTATTAACAAATATTACCCGCTTTTAACGAATATTCCTTTTATTTGAAATACGTATATCGATACCCGCATTATCGACAACTTCGACTATGCAATGCGAATATTTCCAATTTGGCTAACGGTAGAATTCCGAACGATATCGGTGAAGATACGTTTCGAATCTAGTTGCTAACCTAATAAACGATATAACGAGAGAAAGAGAGAGAAAGAGAGAGGAAGAGAGAGGAAGAGAGAGGAAGAGAGAGAAAGAGAGAGAATGAGGGGGTGTGAGGTTGTGGGAGAGAGAGCGATCGCAAGAGGGGAAAAGATTCCGTCGTATTCGAGCGTACAGATGATCGAAAAACAAAGCGTTTAGATCGTAGGACGATCTGCGCGCGTGCAAAGTCCGCGCGCGCGCGCAGAGACAAGCAATGCTCGTCGGCTGTGTTTATTTTCTCGTTCGATCGCGAAGCTTTATCGACGATTAACAAGTTTGTTCGAGCGAGAATCGATCTCGTCGATCGTTGTACCCGCGCGGCCATATTTCTGCCCGCGCATTCCGCTGATGGACAGACTGGGTGTGCTCGTCGAACGGACTCCGGCGCGCACGATACGCGCAGCGAATCTTCGAATTTACCAATCTCGTATTCCTATATTCGCGAATTTACAAGCGCGTTCGCGCGTCGAAACGTTCGAAATTCCGAAATTTGCCAATCGAAGAATTTGTAAATTTGGAAATCGGTAGCACGGGTGGTGCGCGTCGGAACAGCACGGTTGGCCGTCACCGGTATGTCCGGTGATCGGAGATGTTCAACGAGCTTACGAGCAGAATTATCGATATTATTACGGGTACGAGTGCGTAACAACACGGGAGTAGGAAAACTGGCAAGGTTCAAACGGACGAGTTACGAAAAGAAGAAGCGGTTTTTTGCGAGACGTTTATCAACGAATTTTTCATGCCTTTGTGCGTAACGTTGTTTACCGTTTACTATCGGAACGGAAGGCCGACGGAAGAAAGCTCGTTCGTTCTTTCCTTCCGACGACCAAAAAGAACAGAGACGAAAAAAAAGACGGTTGATAAACGGAAGAGTTATGTTTCTAACGCGCGTGGAGGACCGAGAGAGGCTGTCTAAAAATAAATCAAATCCATGTTAAGTCGTTTAAGGTACAGATTACGCGTGGTACAGGGAGAAAAATAAGTAACGGAGGTAGAGAGAAGAGAAATATACCGCGAATTACGCGTGTCTGTGATCGCATATTATACAGTAGCATGTATAACGCGCGCACGCATCGGTATGGGAAGCGTAGATGAAAGCTGGCCTGATTATATGTCGGATATTATATATACATATATACGTATTAGATAAATACGTATGCGGTTACATACGATGCGTATATATATACGTTTATTACGAAAAGAGAGAAGAACGCGTGCTACGTTAAGAATACGTTAAGAATACGTTAAGGATACGTTAAGGATACGTTAAGGATACGTACGGGGTGAAAGCAAACGACACCGGGAAAACACGAAACATATAGGCGTACGTATAGCGTTTGTAATTACGGTGTCTCTTTATTATGTAACCGTGTATTTGCGCTCTGGAATTATCGTGTATTCGCGAACGTTTTTCCGTGTTCTCGATCGCAAATTTACGAGAGACTCGAGATGGAGAGACACGGCGAGCGTTCGTCGACGAGTCATAAACGCGTAGATAACCAGCCGATAAGCACACCAACGACTTTTCGACCAATAGCGACGCGTTTGCCTCGTAAACGATGTCCCTACATATCACTTGGAGAGTTTTAGAGAGGGCGAGTTTCGCGATCGTCGCTCGCTCTCGCGCGATCAATTTTATAACCATTTCCGTTCTCCGTTCTTCCTTCTTCGTTCGTCGCTCATCGAGCGTCGAGATCCGGGAACGGATCTGGCACATCCGTTTACGGACAATTTCACAGTTCGTGTATCGTAATAGAGGACAAATCGAGCGAGATAACGAACGAAGAATACGAAGACGGTGGTCAGTTGCACGGACGACAGTATTCCGTTATCTACACTTTCACTTTTTACCAAATTTATAAGCTTCTACTCTTTCTCTCTCTCTCCCTCTCTTTCTCTTTCTCTCTCTTTCTTTTTCTTTTTCTTTTCTATCATCTCGCGTGTCTTTACGCGTCTCGATTCTGTTCGTTCTTCCTCAGCCGATTAGATAATCGCGATGTACGCGCGAGCAAAGATTAACCGTTTACAGAGCCACTTCCACAGAGAATTTTTATTCGTCCAAACGAGTAATTTTGTTTTTTATTTTCTATATAATCTTAAGGACGACGAAGCTCGCGACGTTTAAGCGTTATAACTTAACGGAACGCGTTCTATCGTTTCATTTTCTTTCGAGTGATCGATCGTATCGTGTCGTATCGGATCGGATCGGAAACTCTGAGTTGTTTACCCGTAATATCGTCGAACATTTTTAACGCGTAGATTCGTGAAGCGGCCGCGTAAACGGTTAAGAGAAGCGAGCGGAACCCCGACCAAAGAGACTTTTTCGCTATCGAGGCTCAACTTTCGCGTCGCCCATTTTTATACGCTGGTAAATATACCTATATAATATATATCTCACCTGTAGAGGAAATTGTTCCTGCTCGAGAATCGAATAACCGAGCGATAGATACTCTTGTACCTTCGTCGTCGTCGTCGTCGTCGTCGTCGTCTCACTGAAATGATCAAAAGGATCCAAGAAACGCGAAAGAAAGAAAGAGATGTAAAAAAGATCGATCAGCGGATCTTGTACGTCGCTTATTTCTTCTCTCTGTCTGTTCACTCTTTTTCTCCTTTCTCTTGGCCGATTTTGCACGTATCGCGTGCGAGCGAACGATCGCTGAACTCGATCCCGAAGGGCGGAGAACAGATTGATTTTTTCTTTTGGGAAATGATCGGTGGTGAAACGTGTTCGTGGCACGTGCTCTGTTGTGCCCGGGCTGATCTCATAAAATTAATAAGCATCGTCGTAGTCGGAAGGGAGGGATAAAGAAACGTTTTTCCTTTCGTTTTTATAGGTTACAGAGGAAAAGAGAGGAAAAGAGAGGAAAAGAGAGGAAAAGAGAGGAAAAGAGAGAGCGAAAGAAAGACGAACGAGGAGAGGAGGATCTTGATCGTTTTTTTCTTTTTCTTCGCTTCGACCGGTTATCCTGGCGCGGGAACGAATCTCGCGAGAACAAGGCGAAATTTATAACGTTTCTACTTTTTATTTATTATTAATTGTTCTTTTTTTTCTTTCTTTTTAAACGAGAAATCGAGCAGCGAACATTCGATGCTCGAACCGCTGGTTGCTCGGCTATTTTGACGCGCGTAACGTTCGACGAGATCGCGTCAGGATTTCGGTCGCCTTGAACAATCGTGGAGGTGGACGAGATCCGTGGGACGAGAAAATCGTTGTCGGTTGTTGGATGTCGGAACGACGAAAACTCCAACCGGACGTTTGTTTTACGAAATAGTTGTACGCGTATCTCTTGTCACCTTGTTCTTTTAACGTAATTTTAATTTCGATGATAGATCGACGGATTTTCACGTGTACATTGTACGAAAACGGAAAAAGGTTGAACGTTGTTCTCGACGAAGAAGCGCGCGTGTTCGCGCCGCGAGCTCGAGCCACCTCCGAGAGAGCCAGAGAAAGAAAACGTGTTGCGGAAAAGAAACGAACGAATGTTTACACGCCAGCGCGTCGAGTATGATCGTGTGATAATTACAAGTGATTTGACTAGGCCCTTCCAAATGGATTCAGTCGATTATATTATTGTATCGTATCGTCGTGTCAGATGCCGCGGACGCGCTGGTAACAGCTCGAATTCGCGGTTCACCTTGTTTCGTCCGTTTATCCCTGCTTTTCTCTCCCTCTGCTGCTTTAGCTCGTCTCGCGTGTTTCCAGCGTCACCCCGCCTAGTCAGAGACCCTTTCGTTTCGAAACCCGAATAATTCCGTTCGCGACTACGCCCGGAACATCGCGGTCACGTTGATTCGATTAAGCGACGCGGTCAACGCCTAATCTTATCATGGACCGTGGCGAGACGCCTCGATCTCGGATCGTTTCGAGATTCGTCGTGGAATTGTTCGGGTACAACAGGATATACTCGTATCTTTTCTTCGTTTCGCGCAGAGCGATTCGAGCTGCTACCAGCGTGACGCGTTTACGTGGAGGGTCGTATGTGATGTGATTTCTTTTATATCATAACGAATGATGAACACTCTAAGAAATGTTATAGTTTCATATAAGTGATATGTTATTTGTCATTTATTTTATCCCTTAATAAATGATGTTATATAAAAAATCCTGATCAATTTCTTATCCCGAGACAGCTCGGATTCCTTGTTTCCATCGATGCTTTCGCGAAAGTCGACAACGTCGGCATCGAACTTTTTTCGGAGGATGGAATTAATTGAAACAACGATCGTATCCATCTTCTCGTTTTACATTTATTCACCGTCTATCTGCATACACACGTGAAACGACACCAAACGTCTACTTTGTTGTACTCGTGTTACGCTAAACAATTCGACTCGCTTGTCTCGTCGTATTATGTTAAATTATTTCCGAATAGGATCGACTACGTTGTCGCGTGCCGCCGATATAATATATTTACAAATAATAAAAGAAAAAGAGAAAAGAAAAACAGAAGAAGACCGCTTCGCGTATATTGCCGTCATCCAGTCTTGTTGGTCCACGGAGGATGATGGGTAGAAGAACCTCGGAAAAACCTGATTCTTCTACGATTTACAATTGGACGAATAATTTTTCGCGATCGATCGGAACACGGAAAATAAACGAAGCTAATCGACGCTCGAACCAGCCTCTTCAACGGTCCAATTTCTTTTAGAGGAGACGCGCCGTTCTACTCACGTGGTCGTTCTCTACCTACAGCGTCCTCGATAAGGTCGATTAACGGAGACTAATCGCGTCGACGGTCGGCAGGTCGGTCGGTAGGTCGGTCGAAAGACGATTTTCTCGGGCCGGTGTTTGCCCCTGTAACAAATATCTCGACAGAATATTTTTACGCGACAGAAGTGAGAAATTGCGACGCAGAGACGAAGGTCGAGGAGAAGGTTTCCCGCTGGAAAAATTCTTTTTCGCTGATCGATCATCCCGTTGCGTCGTTGCCATCGGCGTAACTAGGTAGGAAACAGTTCGCGCCTCTTCGATTAATCTGACCCTTTTCACCTTCGTCGCCTTTCGTCGCGTGCTGCTATTTAACTGGCTGTTCGCCTGTGTTACTCGGCTAATCTAAACGCGTTTCAAAGCCAGACAGAATATGTCTGGTTCGGTTATGGCAATGCTCGTTAGCCAACCGGTGTGCGAACAATCGTGGGTGCAGTCTCTACGGTGGTAAAATCGTGACCTCGTCGAAACGGCTAAGAAATCGACACCGCGAACAAATTGTGCAACGTTCGTTCGACGACGCGCCTACTGCGATATCTAGAAAAACAACGGTAGAGGAACGAACTCGAACAGCGATCCGTTTGTTCGGTGCCACTTGATGCGTTTTGTACTTGCTTCTCGGTTCTTCTCATTTTCTCTCTTTTCTTTTTTTTCTCGATTCCTCGATCCTACTTGGCTGATCACGGAGGTGTGCAGAAAATAGTGACTAATTTCCTTCGTAGTCGCGAGACTGTGGTGGCGGTGTGTGACGATGCATGTGGATGTGTGGCGGCAATTCGACCGTGGGAACACCCAGACTGCTTCTCTGCAATCGAAACAGATAGTTTTCAATAGGGCATTTTTCGATCGTATCAACGTTTCAGCCTTTATCGGAGCAATGTCGACATTCGTGTTTGAAACGGTTCGTCGGGAATACCTGATTCGTTTTTCGTTATTTAGCAACGACACGGGACGAGAGAGAGAGAGAGAGAGGGAGTAGTTTGGTAATGTCGAAGTTGACGAAGTTACGAGGAGCGGAATTCGAGAGGATACTCGGTTACTCTGCAGGGAAGGGCTTACCTGGGATCTCATCCCGTTGAAAGCGGTGGCAGTGGGGTTATCCTGGGGATAGCCGAGCACGTGGGTCGAGCATTTCTCGCAGCCGCGCCGCCGCCTCGAGGACGCGTGGCAACGCAAAGCGCGACACAATTCTCGTGCCATTTCCGAACACAGAGACTCTTGTTGTTGCTGCTGCTGCTGCTGCTGCGTTTGTTGTTGCTGCACGGACTGCGAGATCCCTTGCAAGGATTCCGAGCAGACCGGCGTCGATGCGGGAGCTCTCTACGTTTCGATTAGAAAAACGATCGGTCGACGGTGATAATCGATCGGGAGCAATTAGAACGAATGTCCGAGACACGAAGAGAAATCGAGGGAAACGCTCGATCGCTACCACGAATAGTAATTAAAAGGTACTCGTTCGTAGCTTCGCTCGTTTAAAAGCTAACGCGAAGCCAAAATCGAACGAACGAACGAACGAACGAACGAACGAAGAGAAGAATCGCGATCGGAAGTAAAGAAAAAGAAGAGACTAGAGGGGAGGATGTCTGAGAAAAAAAACGGACCTTGGTTGACGAGCGAGCTTGGTGCGTTCGTAGTCGGCCGGCATGCTTCAGTGGAGGATGAGCTCATGCTGCGTCGCAAAAATACCACGACGGTCGGTCGAAATGGAACACAAAAAAGTGAGAAAAATTCATGCAACCCTGTTTAAAAAGGTCATGCGTGGCTGTGTTCGATTGCCTGGAAAAAAAGCTCGTTTCTTTGACGACGGTCAGTCGGTTAAATCGTACGGAAATCGTATGGGAATAAGCGAGGATCGGCAGGGTGACCGAGCGGACAAGATCGCGCGATCGAGGACACGGTATTCGCCGATTCTCCGTCGCGTTTTCCGACGAATTTCGGAGCTTTTCAACGTCGCGCGTACCCTGTACCATCTACTCACCCGTTCCGCCGGCGTATTTCTCCTCGAATTGTAGCAAAACTCGAATATCGCGATCAGCACGGCGAAAGCTAAACCGCACAACAGCACGACGAACACTCCACCTAGAAGACAGCAAAAAATCGAGACTCTCCAGCAAACGTAAAAATTCATGGATCCTGATCGGGTACAGGATACCGTTTGGTCTTTGGCAAACCTTCTTGAACAACCGATCGAGAGGTTGTGTCGAGAAGGTGGTCGGTAAACAAACGAGCAGCGTTTTTTCTTCGTATCCGGTGTACGATTTTAATTCGGCGACGATCAACCGTTAGCCGTTTAGAATACGTTTATCGCCGCTGTCCCTGTGGAAACGTAGCGCGTTCGCCGAGCTACCGATAAAAACTTGAGGGCATCGCGTTTACGAGACTTCTTGCCGAATATAATGTACGCTTCTTTCGGCTAGGGTAGAGATATTCCCACGAATAAGAACGTTCGCGAGATTACCTATGTTATCCACTCCCAAAGAATTCGCCTTGCTTTCTTTCCCTTTCTCGGTTCTCATGCAGGTGTCACCAGGACTCTTCCACCATTTATCATACAGCATTTGAATCTCGCCCTTTTCCTGCAGCTCCAAAATTGCCAGAGATATCTTGTCGCGCCAAGGAGAACCTACGAATACAATATAACGCGTTAATCGCGAAGCAACGGAAAACGAAATTATTCGATAAAGAGAATATCGCCGCGTACCCATTGGCGTGGCGATTCCGTATCCCTTGCTGTCCAAAAGTCCACCGATCTGAGTGAGATTGCAATCCCTTTGCACGATATAATCCAGCATGGTGGATTCCATGAGGAAAGCGTAGTCGCCTTGAAGAACCCTTTGAATTCCTTCCTCGTAGGTGGGCACGAACACCGATGGTTTTTTATTCTCCATGAATCGCCACATTTTCTTGTATGTCTCGATCATGGAATCCTTTAGATAACGGGTTGACGAGAGTGAATCGCGCGCGTACAGAATGTAAAAGAGATAAGAACGGTTACTATTACGAGGTTACCCTGAAAAAGGTCATGGTGCTTCCGCTATCCAGGGTCCCGTATGCGATGTCCGTTTGGCCGGCAAGATCTTCCGCGTTCTCGATCGGCGTTATCATTCGTTCCACGGTCAGGAAGGCAGCCAAGTTTGCGGTATACGACGAGATGATTATCAGGGTGAAGAACCACCAAATACCGCCCACGATTCGAGTACTCGTTGCCTACGTCGCAACATTTTTCTCTCAGCGAGTCGTCTCTTTATCTCGAATAATAATTCTGTTCCGCGTACCTTGGGATTCAGATCGCTGCCTTGTTGCATCAGTGTTCCGATCGTGAACCAGAAGCTGTTTGCCAACGAGAACTGATTCTCGACAACTTCCGAGTCCGCGTGGCAAGGATGAGGGTTGTTCCACTCGTACGGGCTGAACCTCGCGACCACGAACATCGTCACCGAGACGAGAACATACGCCGCCAGAACGTACAGCCAAATCTCGATGGCTAGCGGGTTCATGAAAGAGAATAGGCGAGCTGGATGGCTAGTCGGTACCTGGAACAGCCCGTAGAACATTCGCCGCGAACGATCCAATTTACGATTCGCGCATTTTTAACTACGCTGCATCTAGCTCGTAGCGGGTCAGCTCGTAGTAGATAGGCTCGATTAGAGATTATGGAAGAAATGGTAAAACGCGAGAATCGATAGAAAATAGAGATCGCGAGAAAGGACACGCGCGACAGTATCGTTATCGATTTTCATTTCAATTAAACTTGTAAGCCGCGTTTCCACGAGAATCGCTTCGTAACGCCCCTGTGAATTCTAGCTAACAGGCGAGTTCATTATCGACCGGACACGCGTGTGTATATGCACACCTGTGTAAGGGAGAACCGATTGCGAGCTCGAAATTAAAGAGCACGACACGTTTGCCGTTTCCGTCTTTAATTTTCGACGTATTATTAGTTCACCGAACTTTCAAAATAGTCGAGCATACGAAACCGTTTCGATTTTCAATTCTTAGCGAAGAAACGTTCTTAGCAGGAATGCATCGATTCTAATAAAGTGGGAAGATAACGCGATTAGATATACCCGTGTAAGATTGGATTTTACGCGACACGAGCTACGACCGAGAAGAGAGAATCGTCCAAGGAAAAAGATTCAATTTCGAATCGAGAGGATCGTTCGATAATTTCGATTCGATTCGATTCGATTCGTTCGAGAGAAATTTACATCTCGTTAGAAAGAGAATTTCGACGAACTTTCGAGTCGAGCTCGCTTTGTCACTCGTCCGATCTATCGACGAATCGTTCGATTTTAAATCGATTAATTCCGTCGACGAGAGTAACGAGCGCTCGTAGATTCTTTTCGTTAAATGGAACCGAACAAGAAAGCGAAGAAATAAGTTTATCGAAATCGCTCGTCTCTCATAACGAAAGGATCGCGAACAAGCATACGCGTCGAACGCGTTACGAGTTAAGAAAGGGCTGCGAACAAAGCGACGTACCAGCGTCCCGAGCGCGAACGCGTTCGAACGATTACTAACGACCGAGAGGCGGATGAAAAATGGTCGAGGAACGGAATTACGAAACTCTGCGGCTGACAAGCGCGCCAAAATGCGTCCACGCTGTTCCGTCTCGTTTTTCCGACAGAACATTACCCTGTCGCTTCATTTATACGCGTCTCGTAAATCTTGGCGATACGCGCGATCCAGTATGCGTTTGATACCGATGAGATCGCGATGTCACGCGTATTGTCGCGGCGTTACCAACATCTGACCAAATGCCAGGGTTACCCGGATCCCGACCACAGGAATCGTGGAATTACGGACGACAGTTGGCGGTGATATAACAGTGAAATTAACGGTATAAATTAATCGAACGATACTACGAGTATTCGTACGACGGCGTTCGAGTGGAGCTTCTCGATAGCCGAAAGAGTATCGTTTCGAAAAGGAGAAGACGTAATAAAATTCTAGTAATTCTAGTTTTTCCGCCGATTAAGCCGAACGGGAGCAACGGACGTTTCCGAGTAACAACAGATTGCGGTATCGTGGCGACCGGTAACCATTCAGGATGTTCACGGTGAATCTTGTCGAACGATCGATCGCGATATCGAATAATTAAAGGACACTTTGGGTAGAGACAGTCGCCAGCACCGATTGCAATTAAAGCGGTCGCATTACACTAATTACAAGGACGCACGGTCGGCACGTTGATTGCCGCCTCGATAAGGGGACATTCCATTTTTCCAGCGAGGACGAACGAACAATTTCTTCGAGCGAAACTTTCGAATCGGGTCTTCTTCTCGATTCATCGAGATACAGTGATTCTCGACGCTTGAGAGAGAGGCGCTGTCGAGACAGCGCTCGTTTGCGAGAAATCGCGAAAAGAAAAAAGGAAAACGCGATAGTTCGCGGCGCTTATTTATTCGAAGGGGAAAAATGACTTTGCGGAGAAAATTAGCTGGCAATTAACGCGTCTGCGATACGAATTAACAACTGCCTGGACGATTTTATTCGTGACGCGCGGCCAGTGCCGCGTTATTTACGTACAGCCAGTCGGTTTCTGTGCGAGTTACGAGGAGACCAAAAAAGGAGAATAACGTTATAAAACGTAGCCTCCGCTTTTAAATCCGCGAAACGGGCGGACACAGAGGCACGACATTTAAACACGGCTGCCTACTGGAATGTTAATTACCGTGGTGAAAGAAGCACCGATGAATTACACCGCGAGTTGTTTCGAAATTAGAGTAGTCAAGATATTTCGCTATTTTTCGTTCGAAGTTTAGCCATGTTTAGAAGGCAATTAGTCGACGACAACGACAGCGAAATAAGAGGAGAAAAGCAGAGAGAAGACAAAGTAGAAATGGAAGTGGCACACGGTTGCCATACGTAGTCGCCGTAAATTTGTCCCAGCGAGACGCCCGATCGAATTTTCTATCGATAGCGGCAAATAGAGGTCGAGGCTGAAACCGAAAGAAGCACGATCGTCTCGAAAATGTTATTTAGCGTCTTCCCTTTCAGCGTTGCCTCGTTATCGCTGCTACGTCGCGTCGCGCCATGCCGTTATTGTTTCCTTCGTTTCGTACGTTCCGTCGAGCCCATCGGTTCTTTTCGATCGTGATATCGTTCCTTATTCGCTCGTGTTTCCTTTTTCACGTTAATCGGCCAAAAGTGCTTTCGCTCGTTAACTTTAAGCAGACGTCGCGGCAAACGACAAACAGCGGTTAGCGAATTAGCTCGGAGCTTCGAAGTCGAGACTCCTTAGACGATTTTCATTTAGCGATATCGAGCGAAGCGCCGAGTCCTGGAAAAATTCTGCCGGTAATAGTAAAGGAGAGCGGAAGGGAAGACTTCGTGAACGCCGAAACGACGAGAAGTCGTAACCGTAAAGAATACGAGAAACAAAGTGGTGCCGTTTGAAAAAGTTTGCGATAACGAAAAACTTGAAAGAGAAAAGAAGAAAAAGCGGTTCTTTCGGTGCTTCTCCGTTATGAAACGAGTGACGAGCAGGTACGGATTAACCGAGTAAATACGATATTGACCGAAAGCATATTTAATCTTCTAAGCGACAGTTCTCGCGAGCGCGACTAAATTTCAATTAAAAAGCATAACTCGTGAAACGGGACGAGTTTCGGCCGGCGCGGCGGTTAAAATTAAAAAGAGCCGGTGGTTTTCTATAGGTGATCATTCCGTAGATAGGATCACGGTGATTAGGTAAATTGTAGACTTCGGACCGTGTTCAAGTTCTCATCTTGCCGTTTTCGTCGCTTCGTTTCGCTACGTCTTTGTTCTTACCTTGAAAAGGATGGAAATACCAAGATTCATGAACGGCTTAGTAAAGTCGATCACGCTTTCGCGAGCGTAATTAATAGTCATCGAGCCGACCGCCAAGTCTGCTTTCTGCGAATAAACACGAATATGTTTGGTTAGTACATTTCGAAATCGAGGAAGACTCGTCTAAATGGTCGAAAATAAAGCAAACGATACGTGGTGACGGCGTGTGCGTGTGTGTGTGTGTCGTGAAAGGGATTTAGAAATGTCTATGGCTGCTGTAGAAGGTGAATCGTGGATTTTCGAAAACAGATGGAAGAATCTACTACTTTCATTGTCTGACCGTACAACGTCCAACGCAACGGATTAAAAATACAAGATTCCCTGGAGGATCTTGCCAAGATTTCCAACGTTTCCGTCGGTGCATCGGTACGTTCTTCTATCTGTTTTTGTTCGTTTGTTAGCCTATTTCGATCTGATTCGAGCGTTAAAAGCGGTGATCTCGAGTGTCGGTGTAAAAATAGCGTGCAGTACGTAAATGAAGAGATCTACTTGCTTCTAAGAAAACTACTTCTACGTTAAAATCACCTCGAACGAAGATGGTAATCGTTCAAATATTATTCGAGATTCTTCGACTTTTGATCGGTGAGAAGTTTTCACGAATTTTCTCAAGTACCTGATCCGATTTTCTCGGCCGGAGAAAAATCGAATTTTTTTGCCGGTTCAAATTACATTGGTTACTCGTCGAATTACGCGAGCCAAGAAGATTCGCCGGTCGTACGTATCTTCGGAGAAGAAGAAGAAGAAGAAGAAGAAGAGAGATTGCTGGAGAACTCGAGAAGATCAGTAACTCGGAGAAAGATTTTCAGTTCAATTCGGAAGCCGGTTCTCGGGGTAAAATGGAACATGCATAGAGTACGTTATCTAACTGGTTTTTCAGCGTCTGGAAAAGCACTTGCAATGTTATGAAGCACACTGCTACTACCCCGCGCAGATTTATTTCCGACTGTATGCCGTCCTCGGAAACGTACACCTATATTACGCGGACTTAACCGATAAGGTGGATTCGCTTGGCCGATGTCTTTCACGAGAATTTTATATATTAAAATACCATGTCCGTCTGTGGAATACAAATGTCCGATATTTTTCTCGTCGATAACATGGAAATTGGACGTATTGACCGACACGATCAGTTGTTCAGTTTTCGGATTAAATAAACGAGGCTCGAGGCATCGAAGAAATTGAAAAAAAGGATTTCTCCCCGAGGGTTATCTCGCGCGAGAGCGTTCACGGGTTCTCGCGATGTCGCTCTGTTTATGTCATGTATTTACGTATACCTAACGAGAAACTCTATCATTAATCACGCGGTTTGGCGTAAATTATACAGTCATCTATTACGATTAAGGGACGAGAAGGCATGCAAAGTAGCCCGGTTATTCGGGCCGAGTTGCCTGCTCTCTTCTTTATTACGGAAGCTCGCGGTGTGGTTAACTCGCATTTTTTCGTTCGCGAGTTCGAGCTGCCGCTACGGTCCGAGAATTATTAACGATCATCCGACAAAATTAATAACGGAGAGCTCGTGATATAGTATCGGCTGCTTCGCAACAGCTGTCGCCCAAAGAGCGGGAGAAATCATGGCTGTAACGCCCTGACAAATTTTTCTTTCTCTCGATTTTTTCTTTGCCCGAAACGCGTGTCGTTAGTTAACGGCAATTGTTTCTCGCTCCGAAGCGATTACGATTATCGAGAAAGCACGGTGTCACGAGTTGCAGCGTAAACGGAAGAAAATTATTGCGCGACAAAATATTTCCAACAGAATACGTTATTCGCGAATACCGGGTCAATGCATTTATGCATCGCTCGTTCGAGTACACGCGCATTCGATTTTCAGCTAGGCAGAATAGTAAATTCGGCTCCGACGTTCGAGATTTACGGCGAAAGTAAGTTTCGAATATACGCGCGAACCTCTAATATCATAGGTATATTAGAAAAATTTTCTTTCTTTAGATTAAGCAATTTCGTCGCGCTATTGTACGGAACAAAGACCGGAGAAGCATGGTTTCGCGCCTGCCAGTTCACCGGTTAGGTTAGGTTGCACGCATTTCCACGCTCTGCTCGACTCGACGCGTGATTAGTGATTTGCATTGCAAACCACCCCTCTTGTCCGCTCTCTGGTAATAACCGAACCCTGGCCGCATCTATCGCAACCTCTGTCTTCGTTAACGGTTACCGAAGAAACTGGACTCTTAACTGGAAAACCACGGACGAAATTCGAAAGCTTTTCCGGCAATTATCGTTGTACATTAGGCGTACCAATGAATAATCCACTACTGTTCTTAACAAGCTCGTAAGTCGATAAAAAGAATTTGCGCCTCGTCTTTCGCGTATTATCCGAATAATGTCGGCAAATAGAGAATGTCCAAGTAGGCGCGGAGTATACTTACGAACCGATCGACGATCGAAGAGCGCGAATACCGCGTACGGGACCGCGAACGCTTCGATAAGAAAGGAACTTACCTTGTCCATCAACTGCCGGACTATTCCGTTCCATTCGCCGGTCTCGTAATCGTAAACGCCGTACTTGCCATCCGGTACGAGCTCGATCCTGTAGCCGAAGCCCACCATCTCGGCTATCTCCTTCAGTAGGTCGATGCAGAAGCCCTCGTAACGCGCGTTGCCGCTCAAATTCCCTCGGCTCTTCACCATTACGTACGGCTGCTCCTACGGGGACCATAAAAAGGAGCTACTACCTTCCGTCTTCTTCTTCTTCTTCTTCTTACTCCTCCTCTTCTTACTTCCTTCTACTTCCTTCCCTCCTTCTTTCTCTTCTTTCATTTCTTTTCCTCACCTTCCCTCTCCTCTATATATCTTTGCATTTTTCCTTTCCTCTCCATCCCATAACTCGCCCGTCTTTCTTTTTCGATTATTTTTCCTCCAACAGCTTCCTCCCGTTCCTTTTTCGCGTCTACATTTTTTCTGCCTTTATTCTCTCCCGTCGCGTAATCTCGCCCTTTAATAACCTGCTAGTTTTTCCTTTCGCTTCGAAATTTACTCTTTTCCTGCAGAATCGTTTCATCGGTATACCTGCACCGATACCACCTTGGAAATATTTCTTCTCCCTCCTTTCGCTCTTTTCTCCCTTTAATTACGATCCATCCCGCTCGAGTGTTTACCGTATCGTTAAACGTTTGCGGTTATTTAGAGCGTCCGTTTTGCACCGTATTTAAACCTTCCTTCGTTTCTCGCCGGTGTTCGAGCGAAAATCAAATTTTTAACGAGCGAACGCGAAATCGAATTTCATCGGTTATAAGAAGAAGCCAAGTTCGACAACAGCCTGGTTGATTTACTTACCGCGGAGATTCGAGCGATTTAAATCTTGCTCGTAATTGGAGCAATTTGAAACTGGACTAGAAGTCTAGGGGCCACGTTTGATCGAATATAGGTACACAGAAGCTATCGGCGAATGAAATAAGTTTATCGAGTTGAAATGTGTACCTAACGGTGGATCGATATCGACAGAGACGCGTTCTCGCACGAACCTTCGGGATTTGCAGAACTGCAAATTAATCGCGTCTCCGATTAATGGACCTAATCTAATCCTTAAGATTATGAAATCGGTGAGAAAAAGAGATCACGAACGAGAGGTAATAGGACGCGTTGTTCGACGTTTGTAACGATGTATCGGTAGTTTGTAGTCGACGAACGGAGCCAACCGGTTAATTAGCACGCTACACCCAATTTACGAGCTTAATTACATGGCGGGTGGGTACTCGCGACCAATTAACGCGTATTCTCCCGATTTGGCTCGGACTTTTCGTACACTATAACTCGAGCGAGACGATTGATCGCGATCATTGCCGTAATTAGGATATTTGGCTAGAATTAACGCTCGATGCCTTTTAGAAATGTATAGGATATTCGAAATTCGGCGAATCGGGAGTCGCGACGAATCGTGGAAGGAATCTATCGTACTACGTATGCAACACGTTACTATTCTACGAGTTTTCTCTGGCTACTAGAGGTGATTTTAATCGTGAACGTGCGCTACGAATTATCGTCCGACTGCACGCGCTGCAACGATATTAAAAATAGTATCGACGACGTTGATCGTTAATCTTTAAATATATTTTTTTAAACGGGTGATTATCGAAATAGTCTGTAAAAGGTGCGTTCGTGTGCGTGGTGTCCGAAGATAATAAAAGCATCGAAGAACGCGTGTAAGGACAGATAGCATCGGGTTACGAAAGAATGATTCGTTGAGAAGGATGAAAAGTGGTTAAATAGAGGGGAGTTTTTCTTTCTACGACGTTGCAATTACCACCTAGGCGAGGAGGAGCACGGGTGAGCAAAGGTTAGAAAGAACGGGTGAGATCGAGTGAGATGAGAAAAATTAAACAAACCAAATCATACATGTCGCATGAGTTCTCGAACGATGCCATTCCACTCCCCGGTTTCCGGGTCTTTTGCACCGTACTTCCTGTCCGGCACCAGCTCCAATCGGTAAGTGAATCCGACCTCCCTTGCCACCGCCTCCAGAAGGTCCACGCAAAAACCGTAAAACCGCGCGTTCCCCGTGTAGTTTTTTTCATAGTGCATCATCACGTATGGAATTTCCTGTACGCGAAAGCAGCAGGGCCCATGCAAACAACGGAACATCATCGCTATCGTCGGATCTGAACGATATCTTACGAGATACCAGAAATTGATCCTCGTCGAACGGTCGGAATATTGTACGAACAGGTGTTCGGAGCCGGCAAGTTTTGCAACATTCGAAATTCGATAATAAGAAGAAACGTGAACGCGGATAAAACGGTGCACGATCGCGACTCACCAGTATCGTGATGACGAGCAGCGTGACGTTCGCGGATCCTGGTTCGAAGAAGGCCGCGGTGTCCGTCACGTTGACGCCGGCGCCAGGACGCCACTCGCCGACCTGTTTCGATTCTACGTTTCACGACCTTTTTTTACAAACTTTTTACGGTAATACTCTACCTTAACGAGCGAATGCTGTTTCAGTTTCAGCAGATCCAGCTTGAACTGTATCCTGCGACCTTCCTTAAACTCGATGGGTCCCGAGATACCTTTCATCACCACCTGGAAACGTACGAAGCGTGATTGTCTACATCCACAGTGTAACGACGCTATATTAGAAAAATCCTGTCTTATTATCATGGAACGAAATAACTTTCCAAGAAAGTTCGAACGACGCGACGCGGTCATTTTGTCGAGTCGTCGTTCGCCCCCTGCGCGCATAATATCGCGACAAGAGGAACGAAAGGTTAAAGCCCACGGGGGAAGGGTTAAGAATTTTTCCGCTTAAAAAGTCGTTATCGGCAGCGAGCGAGGGCACGAGAAACGCGACGGTCCAGTTATGTTCTCTCCTCGGCTCGAGAAGCGTCGGCTGAAAAGCAACCAAGAGCGGAGCTTGATCCGTGCTTTCCTCTTCGCTCCTTTCTCGTGGAAATATTTTCAGGACGTGTTGGACGGCAAGGCTCAAGTTGGACTAGGCTGTATCTCGATTCTTCAGGATCGTGGAACGCATAAATTTAAGAAGCAGGACGAACAGACTGTTCTGCCAGACTTTTTAATCTCTTTCGTGTCCTCGATCGCTTCGTTTTTTTCTTTTTTTTAAAGAGAGGCTACTTGTCGGGATGCAAATGGCCGATTATTATTCGAGTATCCAAAACGTTTCTTTTCTTCGATCTGTTTAGAGATCGCGTTTTCGAAATATCCTCCAACAAACTTTTTCTTTTGGAAACGCTTTCTCGTCGTATCGCGTTCGTGCAAGTTCCGCTTAAAAATCGCTCGTTGGACAGGGTTGTAAATTCAATTGTTCTTTCGGCGAATTCGTATCGAATCAAGCAGAAATAGGAGGATCTTCTTAATATCGTGAAACGAGCCGAATCGATTAAATAAAGAGGACGAGATAAAAGTAAGCAATGCATTCGCGAGTATCCGTAGGTATCTCGAGTGCTAGTAATTTCGAAGCGTTTGCCGAGATTGCCGACTACCTTTTCTTCTCGTTACCCGGCAACCAGCGTTATTAGATTTTCATTTTTATAGAGTAGTTCTCGGACTGTTGGAACGCAAGAACGCGACGCGTCGCAAGAATGGAGACGGAAGCGGGCGAAACGAGCCGAGAACGATTCCGTTGTATCGGACACGAACAATTTACCACGACATCGAGTTATTCTTATTTCTTATTTCCTGTCCGACCGGTAGGAAGTAGTATTTCTTCGTCCGTTGATCAACGAAATAATCTGAACGACGATTCGATGCTCGATTTGAAATTCGAATACGCCGAATGTTAGAACTTCGATAAACTATTTTTTATATTATATAATATTCGAGTATGTTCTCGATAGCCTGAAACGATATCGAATCTCTAATGAAAATTGACGCCAGTTGTAATCTACTCGTACATACGGAGAGAATGACCATATGCGGTTATTCCGGTATTTCGATTTTCAAATATCCAGATTAACGAGAATTCCCTTGTGACCCATTTGTCGATTAATAATTTCGAACACGCGAACGTGCTCGCGGCCGCGATTCATCCCCTCTAATTAGGTAAAACCTTTTCTTCTTTAGGTTGTTCGATCGTCGACTCCGCAATAATTCGGATTCGAGCTGACTCGAAAGGACGAGCAATCGGTTTCCCTTTTTAAGCGAGCCACGGATTAAAAGGATAATAATCGAATCAAGTCGGTTCGATTATTCTAAGCGTTATTAACGAGTAGGATTATTTATGCCGTTTAAGCGATTTTAAATAGCGGTTCGCGCGTGTTGGTCGAAAAGCACGGTAAGCTAAGCCTGTTCGTTGACGCGACTCGCTTCCGTAGAGTCGGTAATACGATTGAAATTCGGAAAAGTTTCGCGTCCAAGCCGCGTTACGTAACGCGAGCGGTTTCCGACGAAAAAGCCGGAAAAGAGGAAAGTAAACCGTCCAGCGGTTGAAGCTTTCCAGCGGATTAACACGCGGAAGGTTAATAGTAGACGCGGTTCTCTTTGCAGCGCGTATGCAACAACAGGAGCGAAGCAGGTGCAGTAATTTGTCAGCATCGTCTTTCGCGCGTTTTATTTTTCGCCTTTTATTTTGCGGGTTTTTCGAGCTTCGTCGAGTTCGCCCGAACGAGAAACGAGCAATCTGCGACCACTAGGATTTAATCAGGCCTCGTCAGCTACGAGTCGCTTCATAATTCTTTTAGACGCGGTTACGTTACAATTTATCATCCGATGCCGGGTTCGGTCGACTTTTATTTCGTACACTAGCCCGCGTTTCTTCGAAATTTGCCAGCTTTGCGCTTGCGAGGAGGACGCGCGGTAGCGTTAACGAGTCGCTGCGAATTTCATCGTGAACAATTAATTAACGCGCGAAAAAGAAATTTCCCATAACGCGGATATTAATTTGATTATCCTATTTTTAGCAAAGTGGTAATACTCGAAAAATGATGCGGCGAAAAAGAAGAACGAGACGTAGGGTATCGTGGCAAGTGAAAAAGGCAATCGATGGCCGGACGCGTGCAGTCGCGCGTGTAAAAAACTACTCTGGTAGCGGACGTTTCAGAACTTCAAAAATTCTCCGGTTAAATTGTCAAAGTGAACGCGACAAACATATCGTATTTGGACGTTTGAAAATTGGCCGATTACGAGGAAAGAAAGGGCCGTGATCGAAGACGCTTTCAGCGAATTACGAATCTGCCGAGTATCTCGCGATTTTCAGGAATAATTACGCGAGAACGAGCACGTAAGGTAGAGAAGCGTGTAATTAGCGTAGAATCGTCGAGGGTTGTTCGTTATCCGATCGAGACATTGCGAAGCTTCTTTTTTTCGATTCGAGCAACGAAGCGAACGATTTCTTTTCAAACAGAAATTTCAGACCGCGACTAAACTCGTTAACTGTCTCCTCGACCGACATTACAGCCCGTTACAAATACGCGGTAACTTCTGTGCATATTTACCGATGCGTGCATTCGATTCAACATCGATGGTGCGGCAATGAAAGCGCGGATGTCGTTTTCGAGAAAATCTAGCATAATTAACTGCTAGCGATTCACGAATTAACCGGTTTTTCTACGGCAAAGTAGAAATTTCGAGCAATGAAAACGGGCACGAGTTCCGGAAACAGATGTAGTACTCGCGCTACCATGGTCGCCGGTTATTCGTGGCAATTACTTCTCGTTCGGTTCAATTAAGCCGCGCTGGAAGGACCGTAATATCGCGGGCTAGGATTTAGGATAGCGTCGAAATGCCCCATTAGGAAGCAGAAACTAACTTAGTTACGCCGTCGACGATCCAGGATCTCGGCTCTGACCTTACATCCCCTTCGCTCTTCGACTCGGTAACCTATCTTTCGTAATAATTGATTTTCGCCGAAAAAACTTTCAACGTATTCGTTTTTCGACACGTAAACCTAACATTCGATCAAAGTCTTTTTATCGCAACGATTCAACTACGATCGAATATTTCGATTGTAACGTTAAGCAGCGACTAACTTAACGTTACGTTCGGTAGTTAATTCGCTACCTTTGACGAGTTTCTTGAACACGGGTATACGATCCATTATTCGTATCACTGTCGCGATATCCATTATCCATCGAGAGAGCTGGCTCGTTTTGCAATGCTAATGACAAGCGAGTAGCATTTAGTCGGCATTTGGAAATATGCCAAGGCACGTGAACCGCCTCGCCTCTGCCTATCGGCGATACCGACCACGTGTACACCGACTCTGGATATTCAATTCCGGTACACCGACACCGAAACGTCGAGTACCTCTAAATACGAACGCGATTCGACTCGATTCGCTTCGTAGACACCTCTCTAAGTCTAAACTAACCGACCACGAATTCCGATTACTCGGACGATCGTTTTGCTTGAAATTTCCTCTTTTCGTATAAGACATACGTATTTACGATATTAATTTATCCCACTGTTTCGCGATTACATGTTTTTCTCGACGTTTCATCGAATCGAATCGAATCGAAATCGAGGAGTCGAAAGTTTGGCAAACGTTCGCTATCGACACCGCTCATCTATTACTGTCATGGAAACGATAAAGAGAGTTCAGAAGAAATTTCTTTTTCCCAAGGAACATTAGCCCTGTACATTCGATTGCTCTTTACGTGCATTACCGTGGCATGGAGAACTTTTTAACAGAAATCGAACACGTTGTTTCGTTAAATATCCACGATCATCCATATTTCCGCGCGTTACGGTTATTTCTACCGCGACGAACAACGTGCTAAAACCGTCGGTCGATCGAAAAGCTGTCCTTTATTCGAAACACACGGGTGCACGATTTTCGCTTGTTATCGTGCGTTGAAATATAAAAAAATGAAATTGATTGTTACCGTTTCGGTAGTGTTTGCAACCTCGATACGTTATCGTTTACATACGTTTATCCAGGAATAATAAACATCGTTCGTCAATTGAATCGCTAACGCAACCGAAACGAGTTGTTTTTTTTCTAATCGACGCGACGTCTCGGCTAAAAGAGAGGCTAAAAATCGGAGCGAAAGGATCGATAGATCGGCGTGGCGGCGAGAGAGTAAATACGTTCGAGAATTATCGACGAGAAGTCAGAGAACATTAAGAACGAAAGAATATTGTCTCGCGAAACGGCGAAGCGTTTCGTAACGGTGTCCTAACGACCCATTTTCTCGATTCACTGGCCGTAAGTACGCATTTCTAAATCGAGAAAAGAAGCCTCTTTTACGAGCGGTGCCAACGAGGATAAACAAGGGAGTGGAGCGCGTGCCAAAATTCGGCGGAAAGATGCTCGGAAAAGCGTACGAGCAAACAACTAGCGGAATAGCTAATCCGGCGATAAACGCGTTTGGAGCGAGGCCAAGTAGTTTTACGGCTCGAACGTTATCGCGTGACGCTTTTGAAACGCGGAAAAAGATCAGTTATGAACGCAGTGGCTCTCTCGGTTTGTTAAACAACGGAGAAAGAGTGTCCGTGCATCATGATGGAAAGCGTAAACCAGTTTCAACTACGTAATCTATCTAACGGCTAACGGCGTTTGTTTCGTTAACTCGTACGAGACGGTCGGGTTCGAGTACGCGTAATTATTCCTGTTCGGCCATCTTGAACGACCCATGCGGGTCCTCGTACGGTCGAGATTCTGCGGGAGAAGCCGAAATATCGAGAGACTATTAGAGAAGCACCGATATTGGAATTTAGCCATCCTGCTATTGAATTAATGCTGGTTCATAAGTGTTCCTCGAGGGTATAGTCACGGAGACTGCTGGACATTGGCTACCCTCGAGGATTATGAACGAACTTGTCCGGCGCTCGATCAAATTATTGAACGTTGCCCGAGGCGAATGTCGTCGCTGCGAATTAATTGAAATTATTCTACGACTAAACTATATTCCTTCGAATCGGACTATGCGAAATTTTTCGAAACGATCTAGCGGTTGATGACGCGTTAATAAACGATGATTCACGATGGAGGTTTATTCGAGTGGGGATGCCGAGTTGTAAGGCAAAGAAAATGGGAAGGAACAAAAGCTAGAAAGGATGTGCTGTGGTCGGAACGCGTGACAAATTTCGAAGCATTTATTATTTCGTAGACCGGCGAGTGCAGGAAACTTTCGGGGGAGAATGACGGTGTAGCCATAAAGGAGGTCGCGTGTAAACGTTTACTAGTCTTTTCGGAAAATTTCCTTGCTCGTCGCAGAAACTAGACACGGTACGCGAGCCCTAATACGGTGCTAAAATATCGCGAGCAATGGCAATCAAAATGCCTAGGAATACGACGCGTAAAATTCGTAGAAAGCGCCTTTCAGTTTATCGATGTCGCCGAACAAAAGCGGTCGGATATCAGCGTTCGCGCTCGCGTCGATGTATCGAAATTTCATAACTGGCATGTTAGCGTAATCATAATTCATCGACGTTAGCGAAGCGAAATGTCGATACGCGTATAATTCGAGCGGTGCATAGAACACGCGAAACAAAATCATTTATGGAGAACGTTATTGGCGCGAGCGATCGCGGATAACTCGACCGTCCAACCAACGATCAAACAATTACGATTAAGCGAACCTTCGTGATTGTGGTCGATCGATTAAATCGTTTTGAAATTTCGTTAAGTAGAAATTCGTTTGAAGAGAATCGGAGAAAAGAAGGAAAAACGCGATAGGGCGAAAGAAAAATTGATAAAATCATCTTTTCGAACGAATCATCGTAAACGAGTATTCGCGATTGTTGGTATCGAGTCGAACCTTCCGAATCCGTGATTCGTCGCGAACCATAATATGACTTAACGTACTTAGCCAGATATCTGAAGGCGAAACGCGGCCGCGTAACGACGTTCAACGAAGAATTTGCAATCTCGCTCGTCGTTCGGAAGAAAACGCTGAAACTTACCGAGTTTATGTAGTTAATAAGAGACAAGCCTCCGTCCCAAGGGTGTTCCAGTTCGCAGGAAATATTAGCGGGTCTTAACGCGTGGGACTGTTCCAGGGTTCTTAATCCCTCCGCAAACACTTGCACGCTGTCGTACATTAAGGCTGGCTCTGCCTGAAAAGAAGAGAGATTTCCTTTTGAGAGTCGGTCATTTACTACCGTCGCGGCAACGCGACGAGTTGCGACGAGTTGCGACGAGTTGCGACGACACGCGAAACATTAAATATTACCAACGACCGACCAGGGACTGGAATTATGCAACGAGTTCAAATCACTTGCTGGTAAAGCAGTGGTTAAAAAATGATCGCGCGCATCAGGGAGAAAGATATCGCGATTTCGCTGGAAAGAACAAGCGAAAAAGAAATAACGATGAGAGAATAATGGTAAGCACGCTAATGCCTGTGCGAGATTTGTTAGCGGGCAAAAGGTAGAACAGCAAACGTAAAGAAGTGTAGCGGGAATAATTTGGTCACGTGTTAGCTAGCACGGTATACGAGATATTCATAAAGGCGTCTGCACGCGTTGCGGTTGCTATGAAAATAATCTAGAGGCCGTCAGGTTCGTTGAAAAGGAAGAGAAAAGCGTGACACCGGCACCGGTGTCGTGACGCGCAACCAGACGAATACGTTCTCGCTCTTCTTTTCCTCTTGCGTCTTTATAACGTTAAAAATACGTTCTGAGAAAAATTCGCGAAACTGCGATACTTCGTCTCGCCCTTTCGCGCGTTCGAAGCATTCTTTCCTTCGTGTCGAACTAATTTTGTCGATAAAACCAGCGTCGCGTGCAAAATCGGCTGATCCTCTAATCGTCTTTTGGAAACTTACGGTTTAAAGAGAGAAAATTTTGCGACAGTGTTTGGTTCGCCAAGTAATTGCCTTCGCGAACTTTCCGCTAATTAACGTCATTCAGTAAATTACGAAGACGACGCTACCAATTTCACCGGAATTATGCCGAAAATGAATTTTACGCGTTACGCCGGTCTAACCAGATACATTTCGTTTACGCAAATTCTATGAATTCGATTGAACGTTATCTTGTTAAGCGACGGGATGTACAGTTAGAGCGGGCACTCGTTACGTCGCAACGAATGGGCGCTCTCGGAATTGGCAGTATAAGAAAAAAAAAAAAAGACTCCTTCCGGACCCGTGGTTACGTAACGCGCGGCGATAGAACGAGAGGCGATGCTTGGAACGGTAGCCTTTATTACTAAAAAAATTATTACTAAAAAAAAAGAGTTAAAAAGTATCGCTTTAAAAAATGACAACACGATTGATCTTGCACATTTCCTGCCGACAACGAACGCGACAAAATTATCAGGGGGTTTTTCGCTCGATCGAGAAGCCGTATCGAGAGCGATATTTTGTCAGCCGTTTGGAAGAATATTCATTAGTCGTCTCTCATTAGGAAACGAGCGAACCGCGGATATGAACGAACAAACGAACCGCTAGGCTTGCCGGATCGTCCAGCTGGCCTTTGTTCTGCCGATCAGAACCGAACGCAATGACGCGGAATACCGGTAAAACGAATCGACGAGAATTGTTTGACACGGTACACGTTTCTACGTAGCCAACGGGAAATTCGATGGAAAGCCGGCCAGCAAAGCCCAGGCGCGTCGAAAGGTTGTTATCCTCGAAAATAATCAGCGCTAACAGCGGATGCATTACCAGCCTGGTTTCGCCAGTGAAAATAATAATACATCGATATGTCGGCTAATTTCCTCGATTTCAATAGCTTCCGACAGCGGTGCAACCACGGTGCATATTGCAGGAAACAACGAATGTATTTTCGAAACGATACGTCCGCGTCGACTTTCCTATGTCGCGCGAAATTCCTATTGTTCTCCTAATTACCTTCTATGCACATTATAGAAGATAAAGAATAGTATCAAGATGACGGTGTATCTTATGACTTAGACTCTTGACTTAGAACGAAGAGAGCTCGCGATTAGATCGCTGAACACGCGCGGAGAAGTAAATATCTGTATAGCCGTTGAATAGGAATTCGATGGAGAATGATTCGCAAACAGACGATTAATTGGACTACAATTTCGTTAGCGCGATTAGTCGGTTACCGTCTAGGAGAAAATTGGAAAATGCGAAAATGCAGGACGGCGTGTAACGCTATCAGAAATCTCGTCGCTGTATAGGAGGTTGGTATAGTTGTTGCGCTACGGACATGCAACGGTTATCTCGGCTTAATTGGGACGTGCTTTTAATTAGCCCAAGTCCAAAGTAACGCGATGAAGTTGCGACAGCCGAACCGTTTGCTTTCTGTTCCGACACGGTTTTCGCGTGTCTCAACAATTTCCTTTCCTTTTCTTATCGATCAATCGCCACGATCCCTTCGTAGGTATAATGAAAATCGCGATTGCGGTCGACAATACGCGACAATCACCGTTTCGGCAGTTGATCGATATAAACGAAGGAACATTTACGATTATCGGGAACAGGTACACCGGAGCATGCGGTCTATATTCGTGCTTCGTTGAGTGCTACATTTTCATTCTACTATAGTAGAATGTATAATAATTCATGGTAGAATTAGCGCATTTCATCGCCTTCGATCGAAAACTCGAAAATCAAACTTTTAGGTCGATCTTTTAAACGCGATTTTATTTTTAAACCGATTTCGTTTTTAGAGGATATCTGAAGAATTTCGACAAGAACTTTCGGGAAATGAATTTCTCCTCTGCGCGGTACGTTAGAAATTTTAGTCTTTCCAACAGATGAAGTTAATCAGTTTCGATTAGAAGAAATCTTAGGATACCGCGGAGAATAATTTCTTTGCGTAAACGGCGATATCGAAAAAATTCAAACGTCTAAATTCCAGATGTTTAAAACGGATTCTAAGACGGGGAAAATGAATTCCGATTAAAAATTCTACGATCCCCAAGGAAATTCGATAAATCTTCTTCTCGTTTGGTGGGACGTTCGAGAAATTTTATCGGGCGGATCATTGAAAAAGATTCCGAGCCAGGGTTAATTAAGTCTAATTAACGTTTCTACGCTTCCGAAGGAAAGTTGTACCAATTATGGCTGCAAAGGCAGACGCAGAGAATAGCTGATCGATTAATAGACCCCGCCTATTCTCTCCGCGGGTCTTTCAGACAATTTTCCTTCAACTTTCCTAATATCTTTCTAAGATATCCCAAAGTTCTCCAACAGTCTTGCTAGGATATAGGATATAAATTTTCTACGACTTCGATACCTATCCCTAGATCACTAGTATCTACTTGTTATTAGATTCTCTCATATGTTCGCGGGTAATCGAAGGTTATTCTGGATTATTCGGCATCACGCTTGGATGCTGGCATTTCTTTCCGCACGGTAGACGTCTTATTCCTCGATCTATCCTGCCGGGATAATCGTAGCTGGAAATTAATTCGCGTTTCGTTTCGTTCGTTTCTTTTTCAACGCGCTGGTTGACCGACGTCGACCGGAAGTACGCTTTCAAGGATCAGCTGGTTGATTAGCATTTAAAGCGAAACTCTGGAAACGTCGTCCAGCGTGTGTCGGCTCGCGACAGATACTCGCGCGTACGAGTACGGTACAGAGGTAATTGGGAGGTAATAAAGGAAGAAAAATATGGGCTGTTTCGAAAATAAAGCGTCAACTTTTCCCGCCCGCGTTCGACGATACAAATTGTTTAACCCTTCGAATATTGTTTCGTTTCCAGAAAAATCCACGAGAATTCACGAAAATATTTCATCGCGGTGAAAACATTTTTTTCATCGTATTCGCGAAAAGAGAAAAAGAATGATTATCAAACGAGATTACCGGTAATAAAGGAAATTTATTCCACATGCATGTAGTAATATCGATTCGTTCTTTCGCGTCGAATCGTTCCCTTTCAACCTCCATAGAATACTTCGCATCTGCATAATTCACTTTTCGTATACATAGGTACGTACATTTCATCGAAAAATTTACACGCGGTAGATAAATTCGGCAAGTTGCATACGAAATTTATAGCCGGCCGTTATTCGATACAAAACGATCGAGTTACACTTCGTTTCGAAGCGCGCCGTTTATTTTGACAAATGTTTGCTAAACCGTAGGAAATCGTATAAATTGGAAGATTCGCAGAAGGGCTGCAGGCGACGTTAAGACGAGCGCACAATTCTATCGTGATATTTACCGCGTGAAATTTCAAATCTAATAAGCGGCTTTCGCGACACGATTTCTCAAGTTCCTCGTAGAGTCGAAGGGGGGTTGGCCGGCCCTAAATCTCCGTCGTCCCACGAACCTTCCAGAGACGACTGTCCGCTGCCGGATAAAATAATAAAACGCTTTGGCCACGAGATAGCCTGATTTATGGCGGCGAAAGTAAAGGTTATCCTTGTTCGCGCTACGAATTCGGTGATTCATTGGCTAACCCGGAATGCTGGAAAAAATGGAAAAATGGAAAAATGGAAAAGGTGGAAAAAAAAAGCAAGCAAGAATGCGCGTAGCAACGGGAAACTGGTTTCCTGGAACGCGTCGTTATCGTTACCTGCGTCCAACGAACGCTCTTTTAATCTTTATAGTCTCGAGGGAAATTCAGCTGTCGAGATTTCGTAACTGATTTTATTTACGATACTATTGCGCGTCGGCTTACCGCATTCGAAATTGATAAACAAGCGAACATAGTTTCAGCGAAATGACCAGAGTACGCGTTAAAGTGCAAATACTAGAAATTTTTATTCGAACGTACAGCGATTCGTTACAGGCAATAATAATGTCCCGGTCGAAGTTTACTTTCGGTAACGCGTATCTATGTAATGTTTGACGAGTAATTGCAGCGCGGTACTCGCGCCTGGGTAAACGTTACATTTCGAATCGACGAAATTCGAGAATCGATCATCGTAAGCAACTTTGACCGATAACTCGTTAAAGTCTAAATTTAAACGTCCTCGTTCGAAGCAGAAACGCGAAACAGATTTTCCTCTCGATTTCTCGCGAAAAGCGAAATCTCTCGCGGTACCGAAATACGATGTCGAAGAAGACGCACGCGCTCCATTTACGAGCAAGGAGCTTCGAAACAATACGTTCAACCATCCGCGAGAAGCAGAAGGCGACAATTAGGCACTTCTCGTCGAATAATAACGTTTCGTTGTACGAGAAAGATCGCGTGTCGTTCGTTGAAACTTTTGATCGCGAACAGTTTCGAATTGATCTCGGACTGAAACAAGCACACGGACGAACCTTGAAATGCGATTTCTTCTTCATTCGATGTTCTTTGTGCGAGGATAATCTCGCTGAAAAGCGAAAGGAAACCATACGAGTTTAATCACTCGACGACCGACCGTTGCGCTCATTTCGCTAATTGGGTGAAACTAATAATAGCACCACAGTTTCTGATCCTTTGTCTCTTTGGTTAGCACGCGACGCCTTTTTACCCTTAAATTATGCAGTTTTCTTTAGCCCTTTAATATTTGCACGGTCGGCGATGGTTTCTCCGATACTCGACGCGACAACGTTAACATTCACATTTCCAAACGGTACTTACGAAAGTTTTCTCGCATTTCAGTTGCAACTTCCACCGGTGGTACACCGATGACCAGCTTATATTAGGCTTCCTCGTGGAAAATGACGATACCCAAAATTTACGAGGTTGAAAACGTTCGAACATGCAAGGTAGAAAATTTCGTAGGACTGTTGCATTTTGTTGGACGAAAGAAGAAACTGATCATTGAATGAAAGAAGATCACGTTGCAGTCGAACGCGCGAGGGAGAAGAACGCTCGATGATATTTGTGCAGGACGATCGAAACAACTGTTGCCGAGGTAACGACAATTGTCATCCGGCCCCCTTCGTCATCCGGATGTCCTGTTCACCTTCCAGCGTCGCTTCTCAATCCCCTCGTAAAGAGTTGCCGGGTTGAAATGAGCAGCGACAGCTTTTGTTTCGAGACTACCGAAGGATGGCACGCCTACGACCACCCAAATTCGCCGCTATCTTTCCAACGACTCGATTCTTTTTCTCCCTTCTATCGAGTTTCTTCTTTTTGTACGCTGTTAAACGAGCGAGTTAGTCGGCTCTGCAGTTCCGCAAAAAGCTAGGTCACAATCAACGCGTCGGGCCATCCTAGGAGGAGGCGCGAGCCGAAAGAGGGTGAGAAACGTTCGGGGAGATGAAGACGAGGAATCCTGGAGTTAGCCAAAGGGCGTAAGGCCTGTTAGACGGATCCTGAAAAATATACGCGGAAGAAACGAGCATCGGTTGGAAAGATATACGCGCGCGTCTACGTGTCTGTTGTCTTTGGATGCTGGAGCTTGTTACAGCGTGAACGGAAGCCGCATACCGAATTCTTTCTTTCGCGTTTCTCGCTAGACACCAGTCTCTTTAACGTTAACCAGAGTTCGCGATTAATTCGAGCTATCGAACGTTCGCCTAATATCGTCCACCTTCGAGCCTTCGATTAAAAATCCTAACCGATTTAGTACGATTTAGTACGATTTAGTCGACCAGTGACCGCGGATCGAAACGAATCGAGAATACTTTGAACGAACAAAGTTTCCCGCTTCGTGGAAGAAATACGATTTCTTTCGCGACAACTATTCCCGCAACACTGTCCCGTAACGCTCGTGTGCGCTATAGAAACGGTTAGAAATGTTTGCCGAGTCGAGGTAAAATCTATTTTCCGTTCAGAATCGTGCGATAATATATTATATAGTTGAAATATACCAACGCGCCATAATAGGTGTAACGTTGCTTTCCCGTTGATTCGCGACGCCGATAAATCGATGTTTAACGTAACACGCGTGTATCGGTTGTACGAAAACGTCTGCGAAAAAACGGTAACAAACAAGAGGCTTAACCGATGGATGAAACTAACTAGACTTTAAAAAGACTAGACTAATTGGCCACGTTCTTTTCCCAGAAAAGAAGCCTTACGAGGAAACCCTGGAAATATGGTACATACATCCTAAATAAGTTCGACGAAGACGTTGTTGGTCGCGGAAGTATCGTTACGTCGAGATATACAATGTGTTCAAAATAGATGGTACTCAAATAGATCGAAATTTCACCCTCGCGAAAACATGTTTCATCGTGTTCGAGCCCGACGAATAATTCGACGGCAAAATAGATGCAAAGGTCGTGTACTTGGTTAACCAGCCGATATAATGCATGTATCGATTTCTGCGTGACTGTTGTTATTTTTGTAAACCTGCTTTCACGAGAAACAATGTTACGACGGAACGGAGGTAGCGGATACGTATTTCCATGAGAATTTGGTTATTCTGACGAACCGTGCAGGATAGAATAATAAGAGAAGCAGCTGGCCAAGCGTATCTCTCGTAAACTCTGACACCCGTTTACATTTTCATCGTGGGAACACTGCGTTATTAAACGAAAGAATTTCCCGTTGCACATTCAAAATGTTCCAAGAAAAACTAGCCACTGTCGCGCGACCGCGTTACGTAGAAATCGGAAAAAAAAGAAAAAAAAAAAAAAATGACGCGCGTGCTGGTCCTAGCCAGGATTTCGTGAAATTATCTAATCAAGGAAAATGCGAGCAACGAAACTCCCCGTCGTCCACCTAACGAGCGCGTTTGTCGTCGTCTAAACCGGTTGTCGCGACGTCATTTCGGAAGCTCTCAAATTATTATTCGACAGCTGTTTCGTTTCGTATCGACGGGACGAGTTCTAACAGGCTATTTTCCAGCGAGTTCTCGCTATTGGTTGCATTGTTTTGCATCCACCGTTCTACGTTGTCACGCGCTTCGCAGTTTTCGACACTGTTTCGCGCCTCCCCTATACGATCAATAAAATATCGTATCACTGGATACAGCGATTATTTTTCGACGATTCTATACGAACTCGCGTTTTCAATCGACGGACAATGAGTTTTCTTTCCCGTTTGCAAACTGCGAGTTGTTCGCGATTAAATAACGGGCCAATATCGCGGATCCGAAGCACGACCGCGTCGATAGAGAAATTCTTATTATTAGCGTATTAATAAAAACGAGAAATTTTGAAAGTTTCGATGACTAGAAATCGATTTCCGTTCCCTCGCGACGTAAAAGCGTCGCGTTCGCAAAAAACTTTCCGAGGCAGTATTGTGAATTTTCAGCGTAAGCTTATTAAAAATAAAAACTCGAAAACTTGCAATATTTTATCGTTGGAAAGCGATCTCTGTCTCCGAATTTTAAAAGCGCGCCGTTCGCATATTGCACTTTCTCGACATAATTCGATTAAAGATAAAATCTGTAAAATTCCCGATCCCTCTTCTACCGATTCCCGAGTACTCCCCGTACGATTCTCTTCCAGCTCGAAAACATCGAGATTCGCGCGAAAAAGAACGCGATTGTACAGAGGATCCCAAGTTTCATCCGGAAGGTTAGTTGGTCTGTTGCAATGTACACGATAGCGAACGTGTTCTTCACTGGTAGATTACCGAATAAAACGTAAATCGGATATGTTTAGATAAGCGAAATACCGAAAGAGCGTGCAATAACGAATCGCGCAAACATTGAAATATCGAGCGGCGTCGATGTTTGATCGCCGCAGGGCAAACGGCGGCGCACATGGAAAAATCTTACCTGTATAACTTTCGATTTGTTGAGGATCGTATTCCCGGATGGCTGATATCGTTCCATGTCCCTCAATATTCCGCGTACAGCCACGTCCTCGGCGTCGACCAGACGAAAGGCAGTGATATTGACGAAATTGTACTTGAAGTCCTCGAGATCGAAGGTCTCGATATCCTGGAAAACGAACAGACGGATCGAGTTCTCGAGCTGTCCACTCGCCTCTGGCTCTTCCTTCTACCGCCGTCTCTGTCGCCGCCATCGGCACCGAGTGTACTTACGAAAGTCGTGAAGAGATAGTGGTACTTGTAGTCGTTCATTTGCAGCTGCAAGATCTGGAAGAGAGTACGTATAGAAAGGATTTATTTCCCCTAATATAAACTGAACCGTGGCTATTGCCCCGATTCCGCTCCAATCTGTTCAACTTTTAAACGCGAAATTTTAAACCGTATTATTCTGATCGTTATAAGGATCGCGGCGAAGCGAACAATTCGAGAAATAATAGGGAAATATCGTTAGGTCGTTGAATCGCTGGTTAAATAGTCTGTCAAAGAGAAACGTAATAGAAAAATAAAATGTAAATAAAAGGGAATATTTCGAGTTGCAAATAACGTTGCACGTTTCGTGCAAACAAATGCGGAGAAGAATGGATATGGCCGGGGGATGTTTACACCAGAAAGGATTATCGAAGCCACGGTCGCAGGAAATCGATACGCGAATACGCGGTTACCATCCGTAGAAAATGATGCATGTGCTCTGGTTTGGTATCCACGACGAGATTTCGTATTTCCTTGCTTTTCATCTCGGATAGAACCTGCCTGTAGGAATCCGGGTCGGCCTGCCTGAGGTTAACCTCCATCTCCCGAGACTTCGGCGACCTGACGAGTTCTCGTAGCTTCACCAATCCTGAAACGAGCACGACGGAGACGCGATTAAAGTCTCGTGTGTTGGCGTCGATTAAAATGGAAGGCAATCATCTCGAAAGCATTCGTTCGGTCGTTCAACCGGCGAGCACGGAATTTTATTCCGCCCTCAAACGATTGCCAATTGACTAAACTTCTATTACGGTTCATCGTTTAATATCAATCCTTGCCTTATCGGATCCTCTACGAAGACCTACAGGTCCTCGGTAAATGTTCCCGATGAAAATCGTTTCGCCGATTTCGATGGGGACTAACGAACCTCCGAAATACAATAATTTCTTGGCGAATCTTCTTAGACGTTATTAGGCCGATCGTTTAATGGAACGGAAACCCGTGAATCGCGTCGCCCGATGAAATCAATACTTTCCACCGCCTAAGTAATCAAGGTATCATCTCGACTTGCGGGTCTTCCGAGGTTCTAGTTCGTTCCCTTTCAACTTTCCACTCGGAACTCGTTTCGAGCTCCGGTTTGAGACCCCCTGCTCTCCCGAGGTCCAACCTATTCTCGCGGCCGTTTCGCCGCAACAACGATCGGATAGACGCTGTTCGCGGTAAGTCGCGGCGAACCGTCACTCGATCGGTTATTCCCCTTGCGAACTAATCCGCGGACGGACAATTTAATCCTCGAGTAAGGAAACGAAATTTAATCGTCGCTACCGGCTCGGCTAAGCTGCCGAGTTGTTTGCCAAATCAGTAGACATTAAGCTCGACTTCGACGAGCTATCGCCGCGTTACTCTGCGCGATCGATAGGCGTTATCGATGCGAGATGCGAGATGCCGTCATTCGATACGAAGCCGATGTACCGCGTTTTGTCGAGTTAACGCGTCGAAAAGGAACCGTCTAAGAAGATCCTGATCGATCGATCGAAATTCAACAGGCTATCTCGAACGCTATGCTACCGCTAAAGAAATATTTCAGGGACACGAGTGGAAAATAACAAGAAAATAAATGATCGAGTGCAAGTATGAAAGCGAAGCAACATATAAATGTTGGCACGGTGTTGAACGTCCGGAAAAGATAGCTGCTTCAATTACTTGGTAGATTCGGCCGAACAGAAAGAGAGAGATTCCGTTTCGCGAACGAGATGATTTCTCCGGGGAGAGGAGAAACTCGGTCACAAAACAAATTATTATATCGATTATTTAGCTAGGCTAACGACAGCCGTTTACGAACGCGCTTCGAATGCCGATAACCGCGGTAGAAGGGGGATGAAATATTGCGGCGGGTAAGCAGGGAAGTCGTTCGTTCTTCGCGCCTGCATCCGCCGACGGCTGACATCCGAGCCAATTCGATTGCCCGCGTCTTTACGCTTATTCATATTTTATCGAAACAAATGGATCTGGTACTTCGCGTTCGTCGGATAATGCCGGTATATTGATATTCGCGTATTCGAAAGAGGTTAATTTCATTTACCGATTTACGCGGGGTATCGATGACAGCGCGCGTCGAATCCCGGTGGCCAGAGTCTCGACGAAAGCCAAGAAATTTCTCGTAACCCGAGTAAATAAACCTGTCATAAGTTCGGCACGGTACCGTCGAAGACGCAATTCGAGGATTCCGCAAATTTCCATCGATAGGAGTCGATATAGAACGCTTTAACCATCGGTGTATCCAACTTTCGTAAGTTGAGCCTTCGACGTTCCAAGAGACGCGTGTTTCTTGGTGGAAAAACGAAAATAGCGATGGAAGAGCATCGAAATATTCGCGTCAGACGCAGATTCTTGCACTCGGCGTAATATTGACAAGCGACTGAGATCCCCGAAATATCTCGCGGAAAGTAGCAGTCTATCGGAACGCGAGATGCTTCGCAGTCAGCTAGTTCCCTGAAAATATGTATCCAGTCTGGCACGTACGCGTAGCGCGGCAAGCGAATCGTCTTTTCTTTACGAGTCGCGCGTGAAAGCTGAAAGACGCGGAACGGGGCGGAGATGCGATCTGAAAAGAAAAAGGAAAAAAAGGACCTAGGGCGGAATAGGACGGAATAGAAAAGTAAGAAGGGACGGAGAAGCGGAGTGACCGGTTGCAAGATAAAGAAGAGAAAAGTAGAAACTGCCAAGAGATTTCACGGAATTACCGGCCGAGAAAAGAATCCTCCGTGTTTAACGACGCTTTCGTGACGGACATCGAGAGATTAAAGAGTACCATCGCCGAGATAGCCGTCAACCTAAACGAAGAATCACGAGGTGCCTCGTTACTCGAGAAAAACTCTCTGGTAACGACCGAGAACGATCGCGACAACGCGATCCCCCGGATAAATCGTACGTATCGAGCGATCGCTTTGCCACCGTGTTCACGGAACCTCGTGTCGACGATCTCAGCGAAGCTGTACAATGCATGGACATTTAGCGTCCTAACGCTTGCCGATATAATTCGTGCCGATACGACGGACGATTCGAAGAACAATCGGAATTCGATAGCATTTTCTTGCGTGCGGTTACGGGTAGGTAAGTTTGTTCGTCAAAGGTCGAACTGCGAATCGCATCGATTGCAATAACGTAATTCGAATAGAGAGAAGAACGATATTTTCAGGATGAAATGCATCGTCGACGGGTTGGCTAGGCGTGGTTAGTTGGTAGGTCGGAGAATAAAGAAGGATTCGAAGGGAAGATCTACACCGGCCACGGAAGGAACGAGTCCTGCGAGCTTCACAATGCCTCGATGATAGTCGCAGTTGAAGGTTCATTGGCGATTCTTGAGGCGTAAGGAAACGGAATTCGACTGGCAGGATTACGGGAAAAGGAACGAAACGCTTCCACGCTGAAACCTTCGTTTTTACTTTTCTGCCGAGGCTTTCTGCCTTACTGTTTTGTCCTCGACGGTACAATGGTCTCTTTTAAAGGACGACCCTTCAGCCGCGAAAAAGAACGTAAAAAACTGTTATGTTTCCGCCTCGCTTGCTCAAATTTTTCTACCGAAAGCGGCGACGTTTCTTCGATATCGACTTGTTACTTCGAAAGGAACGCTTATCGTTAACTAGTTTGCATTTTAGTTTATTTAAAGAATTAGTCGAAATTCAAGATTTTTCATGTATGATCGATAAATCGTATCGTTGGTAAATCTTTCGCGAATAAAATCATTCCCCGAATTTACGAGGCTCACACCGTTTTCGAAATATACTGCTAGCACGTATTTCCGTAGACAAATTCGAGGCAACGTCGAATCGTAAGTTTCGAAGACGTTATTAGATCGACGAACCGCTGGAATCGGAGAAATTCGAATAACTTTGTTAGTTGCGACAAGTTCAAGTCCTTACGGTTTATCGAAAGTTCATTGCCTCCAGAGCAAAGAAAGTTATTCGGTTGAAATTTTTTAACGAACCTTTCATCGACAAATGGCAAAAACTTTCGAGTCTCGGACGGTCGTAAGAGCGAAATTAATACGCGTTAAAGGGAGAAAGGCAAAGTGAAATTTTGTGGGAGATCGATCTGCCTAGTAGTAGATTGTCGGTTCCGGCCGTTGGAAAGTTCGCAGCTCGACGGAACACGTCGGTAGCACCGTCAACTAACGAAGGGTGGAGTCGCGTTAAAGCGTTATTAGGATCGTTGAAAATTCGTCCGATGAACAGGGACCGAGAAGATTCTCCGCTAACTTTGGAACGTACGATAGAGGCCAGTGCGTTACCTTCCTTGTTTTGTCTTTTCACCGTTACGAGTACAACCGCAAGAATACGGTATATCGATTATTTTTAGTTTCGAACGTGCTCCGAAGCAATTCGAATGTTCGGATTCGAAGAGCAGGAGATCGTGTCGATACATAGTCAGGCAGGAAGAACGGCAAACCGTAGAATGAATCGGGAATTCTAGTAATTGTCGCGTTTTCGATCGTTACAGCCGGATAAGAACAGTAAGGGACAACCGTTTGAAACGTTAATTAGAATATTCGCGATGAAACGACGTAAAATAAAGCTCGTGCGGTGTCCGATAGCGCGCACCTGCACCTTACACGATTCCTTTCGGTCCCTTCCATTATTCATCGTCGAAGAAGATCAGGACCAAAGAATGGTGGAACACGGAACGAGCAGCGAGTGGCGGAAGGAACCTTCGAGCAGTTTAAACCGCCATTTCGCGAATTAATTAGACGAAATTTGCTCCCCGGAGAACGTTCTGTTCGTCGAACCGCGTTGCGCACGGTTAGACGAATACGAAGACGTTTCTCGTTAAGAACGAATTTCGTTATTTCACTTTTCGCGTCCACAAGCCGACCACCGTTATTAATCGGTCTTTTATTTCTTTTATTTTCAATTAACTCGTTAATGCGCTATCAATCGTTATCTATTCTTGGACGATAAACTTTTCTTTTTATCTACCGCTTAGTCAGGTTTTATATTAGCGAAATTTCGATAAACATTTCCTGCTTCGTGGTTCGCGACCATTCGACGATTCCCGTACAACCCCACCAGATTATGAATATGCATCCCTCTTAATGTCCCTGACAAAAAGACTGTTCGACTCTACGAGGCTCTGCAAGAACACTTGGCATCGCGTTCTCGTTCCAGTTCCGAGTTTCGCGTCCAACTTTTTCCCGAGAATTATTTCGTTTTCGAAAATTTCATGAATACCTCGAAGAAAAAGAGGAAGATCACTCACCGTAGTCGTCTTCGTAGATAATGGCGACTTTGGTCCAATTAAGGAACTCCATGATGTCCTGATAAGCGGCATTGAGTAAAGTTTGTGCGGGATAAAGATTGATGCTGAACTCCTTCGCCTCTGTGTCCAGGTCCAGCCTGGCCTCCAGATGTGGAATGTCCAGTGCGTCGCAAATGCTGTGAATGTGTTGGCCCAGAATCGGGTCAGACGGACCGAATACCGCTTGAACTCCGTATTTGACTTGTTGACAGGCTGCAACACGCGTAAATTTATTTTAGTTGATCGATTCGTCTCTCGGATACATTGGTTGGTCCTACTATAATATAATCTATATTACCGACCTAGTCGCTCGGATTAGGAACAGAGTTGGATAAACCGTTACACGGAGAAATCTGCGAGACCGGAAACGACCCATTAAGATCGTGCACGCGTACATGACTGGAGAAGGACGTTAATGCGGCGTTAACGGGTCGCTAAAGCCGAATACGCGAGCGCAGTTGTCGTTTCACGCTATAAACTTCCTTTATGGCTGTTCGAAATTGTTTCACGGACAGGCGAAATGTCGATTATTACCGATAATCGTATTGTCTCTTTCCCTTTCCCATCGACGCTGTTGCGTTCGTGCTCGAAACTTTGATGCGATATCAATTCCCTCGATAGCGATTCCCTGATCGTATCTTTGCCTGGAGGGTCGAGCGAAAATACGATGAACGGACGTAAAACTAGAAACGTCGCTTTTCGTGCGTTTCGAAACGGACGGCGAGAGTTTCTCTCATGCAAATCGAGCAACGACACCTGTTCACAGTTTGTCGATAGGTACGGCAAGAAAAATCGCGCGATAGTTAGTCCGCGTAATGTCTTAATCGCTTTAGCCGACGCGACGCGTGTCTCGGCGTTTCGAAACGCTCTAACGTTGTTCCGAATGGGGGATTCGAATCCCAGAGTTCATGTCCCGTGTAACGGATTAAGTTGGCGAATGCGAGGCGGCGTAAGGACCGATTGTCCGAGGTTTCGAATGTTACGCAGTTCGGTGCTTCGCTATTCGAGTAGCAGACCAAGGCGTAACGAGTGTTACGAGTGGAACAAGATATCCGATACGGCTACGCTCCCTTTACGTTACTCGAAGGATCATAGGACGATAATAATTAGCGAGTAACTCGACCAGCTTCTGTTCAACGTCGATACAATATTAACGAAACGTCTGTATATTAAACTCGGTAGATACGACGCTCGCTTATATGTATAACGCGATTATATGTATATCGGAGCTAAACGAGATTAAAAATTACTAAAACTTTCGAACGCGAAAATGTGAAAATTTTCAAAAACTTCGCGCTCGCTATGGATATTTTGAAATCGTTGGAGGAGACGGCGTTCGAATCGTTAAGGAAAACATAAATGTCCAAGTAGATAGAAAAGTAAAAGTCGGCGTAACGAGTACGATCGCGGGAAGAACGTGGATCGATAATAAAGTCGTTAGCCTGTCCGTGTAGAATTCGTAACTCGTTAGCCTCGTTTAGTTTGGTCGGCATTTTCTCTCGGGTAGCGATAATCGAAGGAACGTCTAGTCGCGAAGCTTCATAAATTCTGGCAGCATTGTCATAATTTATAGGACGCGACGCGTAACTGGTCCCGCGTAACGGGTTGGCCTGCAGGACGGAACATTTGGTGGGGCGATGTGTCATCAGCAACTCGGAGGAAACGATGATAGATACCGGGTTCTCGCTTTATCTTCCGTGTTGGAAGTCGGTCGGACGTGGTCGTAAGTAGATAAGTCCTTTATGCTTGGAACTCGTCGAGTAGCCTGAAATTCTCGGGATTCTCGGGATTCTCGGGATTCTCGAGAACCTCGAGAACCTCGAGAATAGGGAAAATCGGTCGAATTTACTGTAGGATCGAGCGAAACGAGCAACGATTTGCAGAGCAGATTATTTTCTCCGATTTCTGTTCTTCGAATTATTCGTACGACGATCGGTAATGGTCGAGAGATCATCCGGTTTAATACCATCGAGATGGATGGTACACGAATTCAGAATTATCGAAACGCGAAACCGTGATATCGATTGAATCGAACATTCGATAATCGCTTACTCGTATTTCGCGACCATTCGGAAATAATATTATAATATTCGTTCGATCCTATTAAAATATTAATCGGAGGGAAATAATTAATAATAAGACTTATATTAGGACCCCTCGTCCTAATAAAGGGGAGTAATAAAATATCTATACATATAACCGTAACGGATATATGTGTAGAAATTTAATAATAAAACTGAACCGTATAATCGTATTGGATGATCTCGGAAAAGAGTACTTTCCGTTCGTTTTCAATCTCGCTGCTAACTATGCATCCATTGTTTATCGATGCGTTCGTCAATGTTTTATCGAATGATTCTTCTATACCGTATCACGGCATCGAATAGTATAGAATACATATTGTACGTCGACTCTTTCGAAATTACCTTCGCAGAATTTATCACGGATTTGTACCTTATCAGAAATTTACACGCGACTGAAAATTTCAAGGAAATTTTAAAAGCTTCCTTTGCGATTTAATAGTTCGACGATGAAATAAAGCGAAAAGAGTATAGGTAGTTCGAATCGCGTGGCCCACGGTCGTTCGCGTTTCCACTTCAGCCCGCATTTCGTTTATTCTTTAATATCCGTCCTATTAGCGTTATCCTTTGTGGCGGTGATCTCGTCTGAAGCGGTAGGAAAATGGACACGACAGAAACGCGCGGAAAAGCTGGAGATTCGGTTAAAAGTACGGATCAAGTCGAGTAAGGGTAAATAGTCATCGTTAATATTGATAAAAACGCGTTAATGGACGGATATAGTCGACGGTGATGGAACACTAGTATAATAAAGATAGCGTAAACGAAGGGAAAACGATTTTCCCCTAAAAGAGATATTATACATATTTGATCTCGTGGCCACGTGAAAGGTATACCCGTATGGAAAGCGTCGCTCTTAGTCGAGAGCCGACTCGTAACCTGTTAGAAAAACTGTCGAATTCGCGCGAGATACGAATATTTACTCCCTAAGGAAATATCTGTGGTTTCGGTCGAGCTCGAAATTCAGAAACAGCTTTGATATTAAAGGAGAAAGCTGCACTGTACTATCCAGCAGGTAGAAAGTTGCCGGAACACCCTTAATTACCGAGTATTCCGCGTTAAATACCCTCGCGAATAGCTATGCTTACTTTTTCAACGGATTACGTTCAATCGTCTTTCCCGTTTTTATAAAAGCCGCGGAAACTTCACCGAAGAAAGAAAGCCTCCGAGCTTTTTCCTTCGACGCAAACACCTTTCATACCTTTTTCTTCTTTTTTTTCTTTCCTTTTTATAACTCGTTCCGCTCGCGCGAAAGGAGCGAGTACAAGTTTACGTTTCGCGGGACGCGCGCGAACAAATATTTGACCGAAAGAAAAATGAATTTCATTCGACGAACGCGATAAATTCTGTTATACATAGAGGATAAAAGAAAAGGAAAAGAGGGTATTTTTTTGTAAGTTGTAATTCGCGAAAACGGATTTAACGAAACTTTCGTAATTAAATCTCGAGTGGTTTCCTTTCTTCGAAACTCTCCGCTCTCCCGTCGATGTATCGTTCGGTTATTCGATTAACATGCAACCTTGCCCGATAATCCGTTCGACTACTCTTCGATCGAACTTTCCTCGTTTCAACCGCACGGACTTGTCCACTTTGGCTATTCTTCGATTTCTTTCCGGCTAATTAACCGTTAAAAGATTAAGGATTCGGGGGTAAACTTCCGGTGGATTTGCGGCGAAAAGTTTGTCCTTGCAATTACACGATTCGCGTGTACGTTCGCATCCACGAATACCACGACTATGGCAAGTCGGAGGGACTCTCGGTGGATTAAGGCTCGGGGATCAAGGGAAGAGGGAAGAGAAAGGGGCGGGCAATTAAGTGGCGCAGGCATCGATCTCGTTACTCACCAAGGATTGGCCTATCATCGTTTCGTTAAAATGGCGCGACAGCAAAAATCCAATTTCTCGGTACCGAGGTAGGGCCAATAAATTCGCGATACCGTACCACGTGGGACTTGCGGTTTGTCAACCGAAACTCTGACACGCCTGTTCCCGGTTCAACGGTTCGTCCGTCAATTCCCTCAAGACACTTGCAAAAATATTCGAAACGAGTTCGTTCCTTTCCTATCCTTAATTTAACGATGTATTTTCGGCGTCGCGACAACTCGGGTCAACAATTTTATCGAGGTCTTTCCGAATTCGCGTTTAAGCCGTATTTTTTACCCCGGATCATTCGGATCGATCGCGTGACCGAGAACAGAGCGCTAGGTGAAACATAGAGGAAAGGCGAAAAAATAGATTTCTATGGAATAAACGTTATCGCCGCGCGAACAATATTTTTATTTTCTACGGCAATTTCTAGCAAAGGCGTTATCGCGAAAATTCGGGACAGATCTGCGATATACGATAATTCGATTGTCGGTACAGACCGCCTCATAATACCGTCGTGTCGCCTTTTCAAAATTGTTGAAAATAGAAAAAGATAACGTCGGAGGATCGAACGTCGAAAATTGGTGTCGAAAGGTACTTGGTATTCCTATGTCGTTTTTATGCGAGCGTACGTATTCGTTTTTCGATTTCTCGATTTCTCGAATACAATCGATCGACGTACGACGACGGTACCCCATGCCGTTTACGTAAAAGAAACCGTTATCGATGCTGTATTTAGACACGATTACTTCGAGTTAATTTAACGTCACCGTTGCCGAATTATTTCAACGTAACGACCCGTTTCGATGCATAAATTTGGTCGAAAAGAGATGGCGATAAACAGATTTTGGTCAGGACAGATCTACGAAAAAGCATCGCGATAATAATAATAGTAGCGGTATTTTCGTGCGAACAAGAGCAAATCTGATTTCTGTCGAAATAAGATGGCGACGAAGGTTTTCGCTCGTAAGCTCGCGAAGTTAGCTCTCGTTTAAATATTTGAAGATTTCAAGGAATTTCAACGATTTTGAAATTCGAGCCACTCGAGTAGCTGCCGTTTCTATTCTATTTTACGGTTTAAACGTCGAGTTTAAACCGTAAAGCGTCGGTGCAAGTTCGGTTAACGAATATTGTATACCTGAAAGCACCTTTCGTAGTTGTAATATTTTTCGAAGAAACAATCGTTAAAGTTACCCATAGTTCGGAGGTTTTCAAAGTAGCTTAACCTCGTAAAAGACATGACAGATTCGCCGACAGACGAAGAGATTAAACGAACGATTACTCCGATTGAACTGGCTCGATTAGCGATGGCGAAGAGGAACGATTACAACATCAAAGGACGTACCTGCAGCTGGACTCGCAACCTCGTTAAGAGAATCGAAAGGAGAATCAACAAGAGCCGGACATCGGACACCTCCGCAAAAGTGTCTTTGTTATCCGCTTCCGGTATTTTCTAGCGCTTCGCGCGTTTCCAATCGAGTGCGTTTCCAGTACTATCGATTTCAATCGATAGCACCATAGTAAAATAGTGGTACGTTCGCGCAACGCTATTCGTTAAGAGGATCAGCTTTATTTCCTGTACCGTGAAACCGTGTTGCCGATATCCGGCGCGACAAGTTTTTCTCGAATGCCTGCGAGTTCGTAAACAGATTCGAGCTTTGCTTCTTTCTCTCCGTTCGATCGGCGTGAACGCGACGGAAAGTTTCCGTCAATCTGGCCAATTTATTCGTTCGAAAAGAAACGCGCTCTTCGAACAACGTTTACCGGCAAAAATATTCCCTTCGGCTCACGTTTTTTCGATTCGGTGCTCCGACTTTTACTCGATACTTGGCGGACTCGCTCTTTCCTACTGTATACATATTTGAAGGTTGCCATTTCTTTCACGAGTGTTTCCTGTAGAATTAGAACAATCGAATACCCAATACTCGCTAAACAAAGGCTTCGGGATGTTTTAAGAAATTCCTTACGTTACGCTATCGTGAAAGGATTCCATCGGCCGAACAACTGGTTGGAAAATTATCCGTTCTCGTGTCCGGAATTTCGTGTTGGGAGAAAAATATTTTGTTCGGGAAGAAACAGAGATGAAAAGGTTTCGTTTCGTGCGATGCTCGTAACCAGACAGCGCGAAAGAAAAGAAAGCACCGTGTCGGAGTAGACGGGCGTAAGTCTATGCTTTCGGTGAAAGAAAGATATTTTCTTCTTCTTTCCTTCTTGCCGATAGACCTTTATATCTTACTAATATATCGATCAAATACATGTGAAGAGTAACTAATAGCTGAAACGATGATATTGTATCGCATAGGCATACCATTGCGAGAACGCGGTTATTTATCTTGCTTGGTGCCGATAAAGGAATCGAGTTAGAGAAGGAAAAAAGATCCGTTCCCGTTGTCTGTATGAAAAGTGTCGAAACGGCGAGTAACGCTCGTACAACGAATTACGGGGAACAATCGAGGAATTATCTTGACAAAAAGTAGGAAACAGAGTACCGGTGACGCTAGCACGATTCCAAGCGCGATAGAACAGCAGATGTTGCCTCGAGCGAAGCTTAAATCGCGAAAAGAGCAGCGGTAGCACGAATCTCGTTGACCCAGCTCTGAAATACGATCACCGGATACGGTCGGCTTAATCTCTGCCTCTAAACGTTTGAAACCCGCTGTAGGCTCCATTATTCGCAGATTTTGTCGCGATGTGGCCGCCAGCTTCCGACCATGGAACGTCCCTTCCCGGCTGGTCAAATACTACGAAACGCTAGCCATTTCATAAGGCAAAAGGCAGACTAAACTAAACTAAACTAAACTAAACTAAACTAAACGTTAGCGAGCTTAATCGCGGGATTAACCCGGAAAGAATCGGCGAATATAGACGTTCACGGTCGAGAGAGGTCCGTGCGAGAGATCGAAGATCTCGAACCGTGGCAGCAAGGAGGAGCTTTATTCGCGCGAGGCGAATCGAGAACAGAGAGCTCAAGAGGTGCTCTCGAACACGCGACACGACGCGCGACGTGACGTTCCACAAAGTTCCGCTTTCTTTCGCGGTAAGCCACGTATTTCACTTTTTCGTACGATGCACCCTTCAGATCTCGATGGTCTTGTCGGACCAACTACCAAATCTTTCTCTCCATCGTCCAATTTTCTCAGCCTCTACATCGTACAATTACATGGTGCGAACTGAGTCGTCGCGCACGGAACTGTGGGCGAACGGAGAAGAAACATCGATGAACCACCGTATCGGTTGAGAGGCAAGAAAATCACGCGTCGACGGTAATAGGAGGTTATTTCGCCTGACGCGATAGTCACCTGTCTTTTTAAACTAATCGGTTGTTTTTAAATTCAAGCGCAAAACAATCCTTTCTTCTCGAATCGTGCAACTGTATCGACGCGAAGTTCGATAATCGGTTCTCGTTTATCCGCCGCGTATTCGTATAACGGTAAAAACGTAAATACGCCCTGCGGTTAACGGCTAGATAACGCTTTATGCGAAACAAACGGTGCTGCGAGCTTCGTCTCGGTCAGCAGTGCGCGCATTTGCATGCATACAATCCCTACATACATGTATAGCGGTGTGCTACAGTCACCGACCGAACACGACCAACAACCGGCTGCTGCATTCGCTCCTCCCACAGAAGTTTATAAGCATTTTTGTTAAACCGTATCTCGAGACTCGCCTTTATCGCCCCGACTCTTCGTGTCACGCCTCGAAGGCTAAGCAATCGATAAGAAACTCGTAAACGAAAGGGTTAGACCTAACTGAAATCAACGGCCGAGCAAATACCTCGATACACGATTGCTATCGACTTCTTTCATCCTCTCTTTCGAGGCTACATCGACTATAATTAAGCAATGTTCTAAACGATTACGAACGTATCCACTTTTCTATGAAGGATTTTATTCGAGGAAGGCACTAATAAAGTCTCGCTAAGTAGATAAGTAAATAATTTTTTTGATAAATTTCGAGACAACAAGGTATCGCGAATTAAACGAGGTAACGGTCGACGATGCATATTTGACAGCTGATAACTGGACGGATAATGGAGGTGGTACTTTAATAACGACGCCGACGCCGCCGTCGCTAACCCTATTATATTCCTGGCTCCGCGAAAATAAATTTTCCACCAGGCAGCTAGATGTTGCGAAACAATTTCCACGCCAACTTCGTTATGTTTTTCTATCCCCCTTGTCTAAATTTTCACGGTCTTTCGTAGCGCAATGGCGATACGAAAGATGACGGGAACACGTTAACGCGTTGGCCAATTTTTCAACCGATTCGGTGATTTTGCAAATTAAAAATAGAATTTTCACCGGTATAATAATATAGGTGATAGGAATGCCGAATAAAATTTCCAAGGACGATTAGATACCTACCCTTTTTCGAAGCGTGAAACGAGTCATCTTTCGGCACGTACTGTATATCGTATTCCAGCGTGGTTCTCGGCAGGATCCTGTCTTTGTTGATTTTGTACACGGCATACTTGAAGGCTACCTCTGTACTGCTATCCTTTTGGTCATGAGTGAATATGGCACCTGCAATCAATCCAGAGTGGTTCGTTAAATACCGTTTCGCGACGGTGACGGAATTCCCGAGGAGAATGCACCCTACTTATGTCGGTATACTTGTAGAAGCTGCTGAACCTGCTATTCTTTATGGACGAAGGACAAGTGCTCTTCGTATACGTACAGGTGTATCGTATCTGTATTAGCCAGTGAGGCTAAACCGCAACAGTCTTACAACCGTTTTACCGATCTTCGTTTCGGATATTTTCCCGGAAGAGACTAGGCGACGCGGATCTCAGGATTTCGTCTGTTCGTCGTATCGTTCGAATGTACGGAAATTGAGCGTATTTTGTAAGAACGCTGTTTCGTAATACGTTCGACATCGATCATTTGCATGACGAGAGTCCATCGTACCTGAAATGGCAGATTCCTCGAGTTCGTTCGCGAGTCGAGAGCCAGAGCAAACTCGTTTACTAATTGCTGATCGATGCTCCGAAAGTGAGCGAGGCCGCAGGTAGGACCGTGTCAAGTACTCGACGCGCGTCTCTTTAAACGTACACATGTTACTTTACTATCGTTCTACGAATATTACCAATATTACGTAGCGCTTTGTCGAAAATACTGAACGTTCTCGTAAAGAATCGAAAGAACGTTACTCGTACCGGCCGATATTATCCCGAGCTTTACTACTGCCTCTATTAAAGCGGTTGATCCGTCTGTTCCCAAAATTCGATCGATTAGGGAACAATAGCGCCGCGCCCCGAACGAACTTGTCTTCCAGCACGAAAACAACATTTTTCAGGATACAATCGTAAAGAGGCGAATTTCATTGTCCGCGGGATTCGAAGCGTTCTCGGAAGAGAAACGCGTCATCGTTCTTGCAAATATTTTCTATACGTACAACGGAGCATAAATTAAAGATATAACATATCGGAAATCAATTTTTCCTACAGGATGCACGCCGATACGAGCTTATAAGCACGATAGAATAAAAACGAAAAACGAGTAAAAAATCAGTTATTTCATAGCGACGCGTATCGTTGTCAAACTTTTTGCATATAACGGAATGTTAAATTTAGTTAAAAGCTGCACCAGTCGTTTTATCGAAAATTCTATTGTTTCTCGTACAATGTTTATCAGCGATTTTATGAAAAAGCCACGAGGTCGTAAATAAGAATCTAACGCGCGTCTCGTTTTTTCGACAGCTGGTATACAGGTGTATCGATAAGCTCGATTCGCGTTCGTTTAGCGCGGATCGCATAATTAATTAAGTAGAAAAGAGGCAAAGAAAGATAATTGGTAGCCGCGAAGGAGCGTTCTAGTTTAGCGGGTGAAAAATAGCCGTGTCCAGCGGAACGTAGATTTATCGATTACCTGGAAAGGTGTCGCTATCTAAAAAGTGATCGGAGCCGGGATCCAAGATACGAGGTTCAGGGTCTTTAGCGATGACGAACGAGGTCGACTATGAGAAGCTTATTCATCGCGTCGCCGGCTAGTAATTTCGGGTAAATCGCGAGCTAGGATTACTCTCGATCCCGAAACACCTTCTGGCACTGGGTCAGAAACGTTATTCGAATTCCTTTAACCGCGCGCATGGACGCCTACAGCGAGTACACGAACCGAGGATGATTTCGAAACAAACTCGAATAGCTAAGCGAGCGTTATCCCGAGGCTGTTGCTTTCGGAACGATCCTTATTTCGAGAGGTTTTTCATTCCGTAAAAAGCTGACCGACACGAATACGAGGACGAGCTGGAAATATTGTCTTCGGTACTATCCATGCACGTTTGCCGTTACACGAATACCTTCCAGCTACGCTCGAGTATTTCGATGCACGAAAGAGCGACGTGCTTAAATATTCCAACTTTGATCTTGCCATCTCTTCGGTAACCTTTAGCGTTAAAACACGACGATCGAGATACACGCTTTCGCCCTCGACACCGTTTCGCTCTAACTGCGCGAACAGCTACGAACAGCTACGAACAGCTACGAACAGCAAGGAAGAAAATAACCGAGAACATTCGCAGACTCTAATGACGGCAATCCCGGCTCGAGGAACGCGGAACGAGAATCTTACGAATAAATTGGCCAACTTTAAAAGATTCGTTAATTATCTACGAGTATCTACACTATTAGTTTCCTGTAGTTTCCTATATCCGTCAAATTATAATCGAACTACCATCCGAGGTGATTGTTTCGTAAGAGGGCTACAACGGTTCGTCCTTACAATGTTTCGACGATGTACGGTTGTTTGTTCGATCCGTTGGAGCAGCGATAAGTAATAGCGGCACTCCCGACAGAAACGCACAAGGTTTCTTTCAGCGATTTCTTCCGTGCGCCATGCCGCGCCCCAGAGATGCACCCCCTTAACGACGTCGTTTTATCATTCGTCGTTTAAACGACGAGTAAAAGTAGTCCGGTGGTAAAGAACGGATTGTTTCCTTCGTCGACTCGTTCAGCGAGAATTGTCGCTACCGAGCGGATGAAACGTCTTCTTTCTCGCCCGAGAATCAGACCTTGTCAATTTCTCGTCCATGTTTTTTTTTTTTCTCGAAAGGTTAGCTAATGGAATCGGATTAATCGATCGAATTTCTTCGAAGAAATTTCGTTGGATCGCGCCAAGAGGTGACCGAGTGTTTCTCGTATCGCACGAGTCAACCGCGTTATCCCACACATCCATTTTCAACGTAATCTTAGCAAATCCTAACGGCTTAGTATAAGGTGGCCGGGCTTTCTGCGAGTTAATCTCCGTTTCCGCGAGATTACAGTTACGTTTCAGCTCGCTATAGAACCGCCTAAGATAAATCTGAAATATCGTAAGAAACTTGGAGAATTCGATAGCATCGTCTTTTCGAATCTCCGTTTTCGACATCATTTTATTCGCTTCGTATTATACTAAAGAGATTTCCTCTTTTAACGCGCGTAGCTAAGAATTCTGCTAGAAATTTACAAGCTTTCGTGTTCGAGTACGTAATCGGGTCGATGCTCGTTTCACCGGCTAGGTAATTACACTCGTCGCGACGACGATACTTTGTGTTCGAGTTCGATCGAAGGGAAAACTTCTCGGCCAGGTAATCGTATGAAAAAAGTTAACCGTCGCGACGCGACAGAGTTACGAATTCGCTCGAGTGGTTATGCGCTCGAAGAAAAGACGAAACACCGTCTTACTTCGATTATTCGATTCCGTTCGAACAGCGAATTGTTTGAAAACGTACACGCATTTTCCCTCGTTACATTATTCACGACGAAATTATGTCGAATGTGACAAGAAACTGGTAATAAATAACTAGCACGAATCGACTTTCTTGAATTTTTAAAACGTCCAACGATCGACAGTTGGAGGTGTACCGAAAAAAGAAAAAAAAAAACGGGCAGGGAATGTTAAAATGCAAATAGCGTCGCGTCGAATAAAGCGTATCACCGACCAGAAACGAAGAAAACCCAGACAGTTCACGATCGGTAGCTCGAAACGAAAGTTGGACTGGTCCCGAGATATCGAGGAATTTTTTTGACCGACGGAAGATCGATCGGGTAAACTTTTATCTAGGGTTCTCGTTGCCGAGAGAAAAGCAAGAGGAATTACACGCCAAATTCTCTGCTTACCGTAATGGAAACTACTCGAGTAGAGAGCCGAAGCGCGATTTCCTTCTGACTCACGACTCACGGTCCGCCCGATTACTTCCGTCGATTCGCCGTGACTAAACTTTGTTATTTCGCGTCGAAACACCGCCAACTTAATCTCGTGGTTAATATAATCCTTTTCCTAACGAGCAATCTCGAGTTTCCTGCAATTTCTTCCAGCATCTTTCAAATACGCGCATACATACATATATGTATATCGATACTTTCATCGATTTTCTCATACCTAAGCAATTACTATCGCGTCGACTTTTGAAAAGTTAAATAATTAATCGTCTATTCTGTAGGAAGATCGCGAGTCACGATGAATTATTACAGAGAACGGAGAACAAAGGGAACGGTGAAAAGGTAATGCAATGAAATATAACGCTCGATTACTAATTACTCGACCATTAGGATAGACGAAAGTCGATCGTACGTTTAACGATGTTACCGGTCGACGAATTTCACGCGCAAACGGCCTCGTTTCTGGTCATGACAGAGTCATTGCCACGTTCCGTTCTCGGTGAAACGATGAGGCGCATTAACGAATCCAATTCCTGTGCCCGCGTGCACGCGCCACGAATCGTTTAAGTCCTCCAGATGGCTAGCTGGTAAAAAAGCTGCCGATCTTTCGCGATTCTACCGAACAAAGCAGTTTTTTCTACTGCACAGTGCACGCGATTCGATTACTTCCCATTAGGGACATCGTGGCTGCGGAGGTAAACATAGGAGGGGGCAACGATTCAATTTATACGAGACCTTCCACTATTTAATATTCGACATCGGGAGGAAAAAATGTAATCTTCGATTAAAATCTGTCGCTCGATTAGAATCCTTTCGCGAAACGGCGTTTTTTCGCGCCGCGACGACGCGATCGATCGGCATCGACGCACGATTGTTTTCGAAATTTTACTCGACAGAGCGGACGTTCGTTTAGTAAACGATGCGGCTCGTTAACGGGCTTAATTCCTGCAGAATGAAGCGTCGACGGAAACACTCTCGTTTTCGAGCGTGTCGAATTTTCGTGGGAGCGAAGCCCAACAGGACCGCTAACGAGTCGCATTAGTTTAATAACTCGCTAGCTGCCGGCAGAGACGCTACTCGCGCGTTCGCCGATAAACTCGGACGCGTCCGTGTCCGTGGCCGTGTCCGCAGCAGCGCGGCAAACTATTAATCACTCGGTAGCTTCCCATTAATTTTGCTGGTTCGCGATTCGTTCTTCTGGCGACGCTATAACTCGAAGAAACTTGCATTCTCGAATTTACCGTGGCTCATACGGTAGACGATACACCGGCTAATGCTTTTAGATTTGGCTTATCGACAAGGATTCGAGTGACGGGATTTTGTCGAACGGAATTAGTTGACTAGTTTAACGCTTTCCGCGCTCCTCACGATAGGCTAATGACGTAC